TTTCTTCTTATATGGAGTCAGGGAACCAGACTACAGGAAAGTGATCGTTTTTCTTGGTTTTTATAGCATTTTCGAAACCAAAACCTCAAAAAAGTCAGTGTAACTATATTTGCTATATATTTCCAACCCCCCAATTCCATCCATTTCTGAAAATTACAGCAAAAGCAAATGATGTATATTCCCTTTAATTTCAATTACCCGGAAAGTACACCTACCGATTTAACGAGGAAATCCTTGCTCAAAGCGGAGATAGGACTGGCACCAAATACCCTGTGAAATTATTCCGCCTGAAATGGTGTCATTCGGAAAAAAATACAATCATTGAAAGTGTTTTAAAGGGAATATACATCATTTGCTTTTGCTGTAATTTTCAGAAATGGATGGAATTGGGGGGGTTGGAATATATAAGAAATATAGTTACACTGACTTTTTTGAGGTTTTGGGTTCAAAAATGCTATAAAAACCAAGAAAAACAATCATTTTCCTGTAGTCTGGTTCCCTGAAACAGAGCAGTTTACATACATTGGGGAATTGTAAGGTCAGGGAACCAGTCTAGATGGCTTGTATCCGTTCATAGGTGTGTAATTGATTGCAAACAAGTGCGATGGTCAATTGGGGCCAGTATTTAAAAAAAAGCCAGTTTTTTCCAACGCTGATCGGCCGATCAGCGTTGGAAATTGATACAAAAATACTACTTTTCTTGAAAATGACAGTATACCAGGTGCCATGATTTTACAGGATGCTTTACACTGTCATTCACTAACAGTCCAGCAAGGTATTTAAAAATGATTTGGTAGTTTTATTGTTTGATGTTTGCAAATGTTGTATTTTCCCTTTAAGAAAGGACGAGACCCCAAAAAATGTGCATACGTTTAACTCTGTTTTTTCCCCTCCCCAAAAGTTTATAGTAGGCCTATCCATTGAGCTGAAACTTCAACAAATTAGTTGTTATGCGCCCTTCTTAGGATTTTTAGCAATTCTATTGCTTTCAAATGAAAACAAAAATTGCACAAACAAAAAAACACAAATGAATTGGAATGATCAGGCGCGCGGTCGGTGTGAAATCCGTATTTCTGCAATAGCGCCCTCTCACATCTCTAAATTCTAACCTTCGTACTGATACGAAGTCCCAACACGATCCAGGATATGACCGTGGGAGGCCGATTGGATGGGTACACGTGGCTGATGGGGGTGTTGAAGCCCAAGGTTTTTTTTCAAGAGAGGGTGGATGACTCGTTGCAGTCAAGGCATGAAAAGACAAATGGTCTCAAATAATTGAAGATTTGCAGTATTGGCTGATGACGTTATTCAAGAACTTAAGAAAATTTAGAAATTTTATTCCAAAAATGTGTAAACATTGGCCAGTCGGAAAGGGAACTGCCTTGCTATTTGGCTAACTTCGATGAAAGAATGCTATCAATTAATATGTTTTCCTTGATTGTTCGCAAGATGTCAAGTCCTAGTCAACAGAGAGAAACAGTCTTTATAATCATAACTAAACAAAACTAAAACAAACACACAATCTGTACAATCAACACAAATATAAAAAAAAAAAACCAAAAAAAAACCAAACAAAAAAATAAATACGAAAACTCAAAATGAAAAAAAAAATCTCCCACGATTAGTTGTTTCTTCTTCAAATGTTATACTTATAGTACCAGTTGGAACTGTGATCACACACCCTCAAGCCTCCCCCATCACACCCACGACGATATCGATTTATATTGATCCAATATTTGTTTAAACATTTTCCTTTTGTGTTAATAGGTTAATCATTGACTCGAAAAATTGCCTGAAGGATTTATAATTTTACGCGGGATAACTTCCCGAAATGTAGGTGAGGCGGAAGTCATTCATATTTTGGTACCTTTCCAAGAAGGAAAAACCGCGAAATATTTCAATGCCATAGTAAAGTGCTTTGTGTTGACCATGATGAATACTGCATGACTGTACCGTCAACGTGTGAATGAAAAACCAATAACGGCGCAGGTCATCTTTTCAGTGCAGCGTTGATCATGAATAATGCATGACTGTTATGAGCCCCATGGTGATTTACGCGAGTTGATTTGGACAGCAAGGCACTAGAACTGTGCTAGTTAACAGTTTGTTCACAACTTGTTCGCTTTTTTATGCTTCACCAAGAAATAAGAAGACTGGACATTTCGGCTGGAATATACTGTAAAATAGATCAGAAGATTTGGTTTGCGTACGTCGTCTTTCGGAGCAGCACTTCGCGCGCTCTGCAGACCGCTGGATACAACTTCATGCACGTGGTGATAATATGCAACCTCCACCATTTTTTTACATGTAATGTAAGGTTTCGTGCGGTGACGCAGGCTATATATGCACCGGTGAGTAAGGACACACATTCCTGTTGAGGACAAGGTAAAAAATCTGAAAGATGGCGCGGGGGATGGAGCCAATTATTGATGCTGGGGAGGACGTTCATCAGGGAACCACGGTGGAGAAAAGGAGCCCGGACCGGGCCAGGGAGGGAGGGGATGGAGGCTCTAGTCGGTCAGATAATGTCATGTTACGGCAAGAGATCGGACTCTTTAGCGGTATCAACATCATCGTGGGCTGCATCATCGGCTCGGGTATCTTCCTGTCTCCCAAGAGCGTCTTGGACAACGCCGGCTCCGTGGGCATGTCCATGATAGTCTGGGTTGTCTCTGGTATCTTCTCTCTGGTCGGGGCCCTCTGCTTCGCCGAGCTGGGCACAACCTTCCTTGCCTCAGGAGGAGAGTACTCCTACATCATGCGCGCCTTTGGTAATCTTCCTGCCTTTATTTTGCTCTGGAGTACACTCATCATCATCAATCCTACCGGACAAGCGATTATCGCCCTAACATTCGCAAACTATGTCACCCAGCCGTTTTATGGCGATTGTGGGGCGCCGCCGGTTGGCCTAGTCCAGATGTTAGCTGTCCTCTGCCTAGGTAAGAATATTATTTGGCTTCAGTATATAGTTTTCTTATTTCCTCATTCTTTTGAATTTTTAGGTCTGTGATAATTATGTAAAATTGTTATAAAATTCTTGACATTTGTTTTAAAGCAGCAAGCTTTGGTCATGATCCCTGACTAGAACCTAACATCTGTCACCATTGTTTTTCTAACTGACAACTTAGGAGTCATTACCTGTGATTTGTGAACGTTCCAATTTGTTTTACTGTTATAGAACTAAACATTTATGTTATTGCCATCATGGCCATATAAAATATGTCACAATTAACTTGCTTGCCCAACCACTACTAAAAACATGGAATTAAAAACGTGGATTTGGGAAGGTATCAAATTGTACAAAACATTTTTGTATGATTTGCAAGTTTCATATGATTTATTCACACACCCAAGGGAGATAGGGCTACCCAGAATTCAGGAAATATACATGTTTATGGCGGCTGGCGTACGTGCATAAAGATAGTTGTTCACACTCGTATGAAAAAAAAACCCTACGAGGTCATTATTTTTTGTACACCAGCAACCAATCCCGGCGAAATGATCCCGGTCGTTAATATTTGGACTTCAATGAAATGTGGACTTTATACCAAGCGGGAGGTCTTTCGTTTCGACAGTAGAGATTTCGTCAACCAATGAGTACGTGTTGCTATGTATAAATACCAACACTTACGCCAGCATTCATGAAATTGTTCACGAATATTGGGTATTGTTTTACGTTCTTGCACTCACAGGGGTTTCCCCTAATACACACCCAGTTTAAACCGGGAAGTACATGTTTCATGTATGTGTTTCCGCTTTGAAGTTACCGCATGTAAATAGACAATTACACTTGTCTAATGACATACATTAGCGTATAGATTGTTTGCACTGCAGCCACGATGTGTTCAACATAGAAATGAGTATATACCCTTTCGTTGTTAATAAATTAACATTTAACAAAACGTACCTCCAAGATGGTTGCTGAATGCAATCCATCTATGTTAGCTCACTGTACCCAACTGGATACCGTAAGTTTTCACATTTGTATGAGAACTTTCGGTGCTATATTTCGATTCGTTTTACCAAATCTTCTCTAATTATTGTGATTATTATTCAGAGCCTCTTGACATTAACCTAAACCCAAGATAAGCATTTTGCCTTGGAAAAAATCACAAACCACTCACATACACTGGGAATACATTAATTTTGAGGACGAGCAATTTTGTTTAAAGTATAGATTTGGAGATTTCGCATAACAGTATGTAAGCGCCTATATTGATTGCTTTTGTGATACTGATATAGGGGCTAGCAAAAAAAAAGGTCTGCGCAACCATGGCACGGCGCGTAAGCTGTATAGTAAAATCGATGCACGCCAATTTTCAACTCAAGGTTTTGTTAGGTTAACATAATTATACACAGCAAGCTGGAACACGTACACCACTATTAAAGTTCCTAAAACTCTTTATTGCAAAAGAAATTCAAGGATCACAGATGATTTACCGCATAAATAGCATTCATTTTTACGACCTTCAAAAAAATAAAACAATTCAAATATGCCCTTGAGAAACCACTACGGTACAAAAGCTTGAGGCCATGCAGGTTGTTGACGCCGTCGACAATACATTTTTGGATACATTGTATTTTAAAGTGGCTTTTGGCCTAGTCCCGAAGGAAAATGAGTGGATGGTGTGTAGTAACTTATTCCATCGTTAAGAGAACCGCTGAGTGTGATTGGCGACTTAATACCGTGTTTTGTTTACAAATGCAAATGATGGATTTGCTTAGGTCATCACTTCTTGGAAAGACGGAGCAACCGGCGGGTTGTTTATGTCATGGATGTAGGGTGATATGTTGCATGAGAGGACAGATTGTTTTTGCCTGTGTATGTAGTGACTCCGGTATGATTTTGGTAGAGTAATCGATCCTTCAGCAATCAGAAATAAAAACTACAGTCGTAAATAAGACAAGTCCTCTCACGGGTAGCGAAATTCATCCTTGCGAGGGCAGGCTTCCAGTCTAGTTTATCCTTGACGCGTTGAACCGGATGTGTGGGCAAACCACTTGTTCCATTTTCACATGTAAATGTCGGAGTTCCTTTGAATAAAAGATTATTGATCGCGTGGTCGGTTACGATCAATGGACCTGCTAGTTTATGGCTCGATTGTATTGAGGCTTTATACAGAGGGCGAACTCTTTTGTCGTGTGGGTTGCTAAGCGGAACCGCGACCAACCACATGGCGCGAGATAAAGCGCGCCATTTCTAATTTTTTTCGCGGGAGTTTATAACCAAAGCATGCACACAAGATTGTAAACAACGGATCGGTGCGGTGGACACTGCACGTCATGTAGTCAACATTCAGTCTCAAAAGCGGTAAATATCACTTTTATTTCGACTCAGGAAGGCCCACTTGTACTTGCTGGAATTGGAAATACGTTTGTGCCGTATTTCTGGCTTGGTCTTCGGTACTCATTGTTTACGTCTCCGATATCGGTCGTCTTTCATTGAACCATTTCAACGATCGAGGTCGGCTGTCTGTGTATATATCGAATGTGACTGATCTGTATATCATTTTGTGCGAGCCAGCCTGATTACGTGGGCTGCAGACGTACGTTGGAGCCAAGCTCTATACGAAGGGCAAGCACATTTCGAGTGAGTTTACACGCCGTACATAAAGCCTTCTAATAAAGTTCTAGTCCACCACTACTGACTACTACTAACGTAGTAGTATAACAGTACTTTAGCACCTCAGTTTAAAATTATAGAGACAAAGTCTAAAGATGGCGGGTGGACTCGGGTCAGAGGTCGCCCACGACCCTGCAACGGTCAAGAAGCAGAGTCCACCGAGGCCCTATGGAGGGAGTGGAGTCGAAGCCGGGGACAAGAACGGAGGCAGCATGATGGACATAATGGACACGAGTTACGTCCGCCTCCGCAAGGAGATTGGCCTCTTCAACGGGATGACCATCATTGTGGGCTGCATCATCGGCTCGGGTATCTTCCTGTCTCCCAAGAGCATCTTAGAACACACTGGCTCCGTGGGCATGTCCATGGTAGTCTGGGTTGTCTCTGGTATCTTCTCTCTGATCGGGGCTCTCTGTTTCGCCGAGCTCGGCACCACCATCCTTGCCTCCGGAGGAGAATACTCCTACATCCTGTACAGCTTCGGCCAGCTGCCTGCGTTCGTCTTGCTCTGGAGCACGCTGATCATCATCAATCCTACAGGACAAGCCATCGTTGCGTTGACATTCGCCAATTACGTCACCCAGCCATTTTTCGGTGACTGTGGAGGCCCGCCCCTCGGCCTGGTACAAATCCTCGCTATTCTGTGTCTTGGTAAGAATAAGATCTAATCTTTTCCAGTTTCTTGTAAGAATTCAAATTGCCAATGCCATTAATTATGATAAATGTGTTTTATTTATATCTTAAAACTATGAAAACATGCATTGTGAGCCTTGATATTACTTGGGTCAATATTGGTCAAGACCCCCATTGGTTTCTTAACAGTATGCCAGGAGGTGAGGAAGGAAATTTTGACCATTGGTTACCTCTTAAATAGTGCTTTTTATACTTCCACCACAGAAAACGAATAATAGCTGACTGGCCTGATGCTATAATATTAAAAAGAAACTTTTTAACAAACATATTTAGTAATGTTACACATGCCTCGACAAAAAAAAAATGTGTGTTAAAACAAACCCCAATGTTTAGTAAAATGGAGACGACGGCCAAATACATTTTGTAAATAATTAAAAATCAATAAAAAAAAAGTTATATTGCAGAACAGTGTCGCCGCCAAAATAGCACTATTCTCCGATGTGGCTAAAAAATGTTCTTTTGATTATGTCTCAGTCTGTATTGATTGTATACGGAAAAAAATATAAAAATACGTATCTACATAATAACAAATAGCATGTTGATATGCATTTAATTCTGAGGTGTTCGAGACCTATCCCTTACTAAAAAAAATTTAAAAAAATCAAATGAAATGAAATAACAACATTGTTTGGGTTGTCAATAGCCAGAATAAGAGAAAGTCTTGATTTGTTTTTATAGTACAAATATTACTCGAGGGCGGACAAATATCTTGCATAAAATTAGAATACTTAACGATTGATATTGTTTGTATGTATCTTAATTAGAAAAATCGGCCGGGTCTGCATAATTTTTGTAAGACCTGAAATCAAATACCTGTCGATGTTTAAGTGATTTCCTTTTCAAGACCATGCTTTTTTTTTGCTTTGGGCAGGGTTGTTTGATTTAAATAATTGATTTAAATCACGATTTAAATCAGTGGGGAAAAATTTAAAAACAAATATTTAAACAAAATAAAAAGTCATGTACAAGTTTAAAAAAAATCATATGATACGCTTGTAGATACTGAAGAGCTTTTAAAGAATGTTGGCACAATTTAAAACACGTTCCATCCAGTATGCCCTCCTGGTAGTTGATATGTTCTGATGGGCTGTTATCAATTAACTTCCCAATGAGTGTTGTATGCAACTTGTTGATTCATGCTGGCACGTTTAATAACATGAGGCTAAAGATGAGACTTAAACAGATGACAAGCTTGTCTTCCATAGTGGGTCCTTTACTCATGCTCAGTGTTCCATAATTCCATAAATCCTGCGAATAGAATGAAGCTAGCGAGACGATTAATTAATCTCCTTAAGCCAAGGGCGGATCCAGAACACAATTTTTTGGGGGGCCAAAAAAATATTTGGTCCCCCAAAAAAGTGGGTCAAAAAAATTACGGCGTGGGGTTCGGGGCCCGCTTAAGGGCCCCGAATTATTTTTGGATTCTAGATGCTCTGTGGTGCGATCTGAGGCAATTTCTGACCACTTTAACCAATGTTTTTTTGAGAAAAAGATGGTGGTGTACTCATTGCCTGCCTTAATTGCGATGTCACATAAAAAAAAAAAATATTGGTTTCGTTTTGGGGGTGCCATGGCCCCCCCCTGGATCCGCCCTTGCCTTAAGCCCGGTTCATCCTTCATGCGAATGCGAAGCGAATTTGACGTCATGAAACATTCGCTGCGAAATTTGCCCGAGTTGAAATGTGTTCAACTTTTACGAATTCGCACTGCGAATACTCTCCATGACGTCACAAATTCGTGTTCGCTTTCGCTTTCGCGCCGAGTATGAACCGGGCTTTAGTCCTTTTTATAGGAACAGATAATTTCTAAAACTATTATAAATCTTTGGGAGTTTCAAAAGATAAAGATGTATAGCTGCAAAATAAACATAGTTTTGCAGATGGTTGAATAATAAATTTGTTGAGTATAACTTTTTGATCACTCACACAAAGACAAAATGATATCGATTTAAATAAAGAGATCTGATCATAATTTTAATAAAATCCTATTTTTTGTTACATTTACCAAAAAAAAATTCACGATTTTTAACAACCCTGGCCGTGGGTGAGTCGAGTGCGAAGAGCCTTTAGGCACTGGAAACTAAGGAACTTCTAGGATCTTGAAGCAATTACTAGACAGGCTTCTTCTTGCAAAATTAAGGACCTTGTATACCAAACATTATTTGCAATGCACTATGCGTAGCGGAATATTATCTGAATGCTAATTAAATTCCCCCCCCCATTTTTTTTTTTTTTTGTGGCGCTTTTATTCACAGTATCGAGCACGTATGGCGCGTCGAATAAGTTTTGAGTATAGTGCATCTTCCCTTGTGATAATAAAAAAAAATGCCGATCCCGGCATATTAGCAATAACAGACGTAATCACCACGCTTTTTACATCTCCCACGTGTGATGTACTTTTGTTAACGAAAAAGCAGGTGCGTTTAAGTTTATGGCAATTATTGTGTTGTATCCTACAGGTGTTTTGATGAACTTGGCGGGAGAATGTTTTTGGCGGGTTTTTCCCCTTTGGGACTTTTTTATCTCTAACTAACGCTTGTTTTATCGTTCCTTTCCGGTTGAGAAGGTTTTTGGCATCGATCCAACTCCTAGGTGTTAAGAAACGAAAGCATAAACGAGATTAAATGTCATTCAGGACCGCCACCGCGTCACTTTAAAAAAAAATCGAAACTGCTGTTGTAATTTTAATGCGGCGCATGCTTGTGTTATCGACTAGACAGTCACTGTACTGAAAGAGATATAAGTTCGATGGCCCGTATTGGCGGGAAAGTTCGAATGGCTTTGTACTTCACTGCATGGATTTGGGAAGAACAGGGGATTTGTTTTATCCCATGGAAAACTTACTACACTATGGAAACCTGAACATAGTTTACGAAAAAAACTAATAAAAAAGTATGGCATAACAGGAGCCCAAACTTAACATTTTGTTCGTGGAATTTGAATGTAAAAATCGTTCAGCCTTTGTAACGCAAAATCGTGTTTTAAGTATTTAATTGAATTTTCATCAATAAATAATATTATAAACACGCAAAATCTTTTCAAAATTTATTCAGTCTATGAATCATCTATCGTCGATGTATCATCATCCTGATAAATGAGATCGTCTCTAGCATTTGCGTGTTAAAATCATGAATAATAAAGAAAAATGGCTTTGTTTGAAATTTCATAAGCGGAGTATGTCAGGCGGATAGAAAAAAATCGCGGGAACTTAAAACCAACACTTTCATTATCAATTTCGCGCGCGTACGCCTTTTATAGATCAAGTGGTTTTTATGAATGAACTTAACCTATCCTACACAGGGAATGGATTCACCCATTCCAGTGTGCGCCTGCGCTGAATTCTAATTTTGCCGAGTCAATCACGTAGTCACTAGAAACCATCCCTTGTAGTATCTTGGCATCAACAAACGAAACGTCTGGCTGTGACTCTACTTGCCCTTGCCTTTGACTATGCACGTGTTCAAGAATGCGAACGAAGTTGTTCGATATTTTCGGGTCTCAGAAACCGCTACAAAATTTATGGAGAAAAATGAAAATCCGCAAAAAGGAAGATATGTAACAAAACTAACCGATCCGATGGGGAACTTACATTGACCTGGAAGCTAATAAGGAATAGGAATTTTGTTCTTTGCTTGGGAAGTGTTTGAAAACTTCAAATGCTTTTGGGGTGCGTTTGCGACTTTGCGTACGTGTTAAATATATCCTGTCTTGGTTCTAAGTTAGTTATCAGAATCGATTTGAGGAATGGCATTTGTGTACGTAGAGGATTTTTTGCCTTCCACCTTCTTGACTTGGGCTTGAACTTGAATCCAAGGCTGACATTTTGATTCTGTAGGTTTTTAGTTCTTTGGTTTTATCAGGAACCACAGCCAGGCCTTTACTCCCACATCAACACCTTGTTACATTTAATCATTTGTCTAGGTGCCATCAGACTTACGACTAAGAGCCACAGTGAATACTACTGAGAAACTTTCAAAACTGAAATTAACAAAAGCTGTGTTATTATTAGACACGGAGAAAAGATATGAAAGGGGCAAGGCTATTTATAAGTCATGGCCAAAACCAGAGTATTGAAAGTCCGTGGCGTCTTCTTCGTTTGCAACGCGTTTGCATTGCATTGAGATCGAACTAAACTGGATTGATCTTGCCTTCTAAAAGTCTTTTCTTCATCCATGGTCTTGCTTACTAACACCGGAATTAGAATAGGTTTGTTAACTTTACCGTGAGTGAACGTTACACCGTGGTTATTCCATCTCGTTATTCGAATCTAATTGACAAGAAAACAATTCATGTCCAAGAGGGGTAGACAAGTATAGTTCAGTCATCGTCAGCACAACGTGTTTTATGTGGGTGCAGACGATGGGTCCAGAATTGCCCACGCGGGCCAAATCACATGGCATAATATTAGAGCATTTTGTGGGCCATAAAGGTTCGTGGAAAAAGATGGTTGGAAGTCGTGCACAGGAGTGTAAGCTTGCGCTTGTATTTCTGTAAAAGTTCTCATGAATTTGCGCCCTAAAATTGCTCTATTTTGCAATGGAGCGCAGACATCATTTTGCAAAATGGCGATGGGCCACATTGACTACTTTTTCGGGGCGATCATCTTTGGATACAATCTTCACCCAAAAATTATAGATAACAGAACAAAAATTAACAGAAAATGAAAGATTGTTAAATAGCTTTCATTCGATGGATGTGTCGAACATATCGGAGAGTTGTGAGTATTTTAAATATTTTTTGGAAGTACGCGTAATTATCACTGAAGTCTATGGGAGTCAATTTGCAGGTCTGCACCGGGCACCCTGCGGCCTATGACCGCAGTAAAAATTTACCAAGCGCAACATCGACGAAGCACGTGGCGTTGTCAGAAGCCCCGCCCAGGAACTGCAGTGGATAAATTCTAACGGAGCTTCCGCACATGATAAATATGTTTCCCTCGTTAGCTGGCTGAAACGGTCGTCTGCTTTGCAAAGCCTTCGTCTTGTGTGTGGAAAATCAAGAAGAGTCTCAACGGACGGCTGTTTGAGTACGACGTATATTATAAGAATTCAGTGTGTGATGATGAAATCGCGAGTGGAAGCACGAGGCCGGTACACGCATATGACCATATGGGGCGAATATGCGAGTTCATGGCTTCATGTACGACGTGGCCGGGCGCGGGCGCGCGTTATTATTCCCGCCAAACACTACCAGACTACGATGTACATGTACCAACCCAAATGAGTAGTATTTAGTTGTAATTCTTGGCTACGACCGTCACTTCGGTGACAGCTGCCCATGCAAGAGAATTCGTCTCATTTTGCTGGTGATTAGGCTCGCAGTTTAGACGGTTTCCGTGGGAAAACGTAGGCCTACGTAAACTAGTTTTACTGACGGCCAGTGTTTAGTCTGTGGACAACGTAATGGTTCAGCATTGTTCGGCAGTTTACACGTGGAACTGTGGTTGCCTGTGTATACGTATGCCATGTGGTGATGTGGAATAGTTCTTCAAGACACCATGCTGTTGTAAAAGACATCTTTTAAGAGTTCTATAAATTCCAACAAGTCGTCGTAGAGCAAAAGCTAAACAGAGCTCTCATAAACAGTAACATTTTACTTCGAAATATTCTTTTCTCACAAAATGGAAGAAGTCGCTTTAGCAGACCCGATCAACACGACAGCAGGCAGTGACCAGAATGCCGGCTCCGAGATCTCCTCGGAACCGCCACCGTACACGCCCAAGGAGGAGGAGACGGGAGCCAAGCCCAATGACAATGACTCGGTGGTACGCTTGCAGCCCCAGCTCGGAGTTTTCAACGGGATCACTTTGATCCTGGGCTGCATCATCGGCTCGGGTATTTTCCTGTCTCCCAAGAGTGTCTTGGAGAATACAGGCTCCGTAGGGATGTCAATGATAGTTTGGGTTGTCTCTGGCATTTTCTCTGTAATCGGAGCTCTCTGTTTCGCCGAGTTGGGAACAACCATCACGGCATCTGGCGGGGAGTACTCCTACATCTTGACCGCCTTTGGTTCCTTGCCTGCTTTCCTTGTCCTCTGGGTGACGGTCCTGATCGTCAACCCAACTGGCCAGACAATCGTTGCCATGACATTTGCTTATTACGTCATCCAGCCTTTCTTCCCAGACCCGGACTGCCCGCCTCCTGACGTGTTTGTCCGTATTTTAACCGTCTTGTGTCTTGGTAAGTTGAGGTCACCCAAACTGAAATCATTGTCACAGTTCCTACTCTTGACTCATTTTATGATTGCGCTAGCTGGAGTTACCTCAGCCCTAAATTTTATCATTGGGTTGTCACCTCAGCCCTAAATTTTATCATTGGGTTGTCATTACATTTAATGACAACCCAACGATAAAATTTAGGGCTGAGGTAAACTCCAGCTACGATTGCGCCTACAATCATTGGTGAGACTAAAAAATTTACAATTTCTACAACTGTTAAAAATTGTTAAAATTTAATAAGGTCTCGGCCTACTCTTCCAATTTTCAAACATAGGCCTATCACTTTTATCAGATGGTCGGAATTATTCTCAGAAGAGTTTGAACTTTGATAAATTGCCTGGCATCAAAGAAACTTGAGCAACATTTATCTAAATATCAAAATACACATTCTATTATTAATTTCCTGTTAATGATTTAAAAATTGTTAGCATAGAATTGCACAGAGAAAGCAACATGGAAAACTCCTTAGTTTGTGTGACCCCCTTTGCTACGTAGGCCTACTACTAACTTTGGCATTGCTTGTCACAAAAGAAACAGTGCAAATGCGTAGTTTGTCACTTTCAGTGCTCAAGGATATATAAATGGTTGTAAACAGCATGCTCTTGGAATACATGTAGGACACTGACCCTGACCAAATCCCTGACCAAAATCCCAGCACGAGCAGACATCATTAGCATCTTGAATTATTAAAATCGTACCATGACATAGAGCTGATGACAAATCAATAGAGAATGTCTAAGCTAAGGGAAGAAGCTGTGACAGGCTTGTGTACAGTGAAAACAAGAACCGCAATGTTTCTGAATCCTTAACCCTAACCACCCCAACCCTTCAAAATCCAACTGCATGTTTTGTTAGATTCTGTTGGAGTGAGTACTGCACTAGTATTACTGATTTTGCTTTACATTGGGTCAGGCATACCACCATAATCAGAGTCCAACAGCTTGGAAACTCAGTTTACCATAATTATGGTGTTGGATTTTTGCAAGAGTGTGGAAGGTTCGTTGTTCGTATGATTCTATGTTTTAGTCACATACCAATCTGGATCCCCAATGAGAAAGAAAAAAAAAGTTTTATGGCAACCACCAACTTCAGTTTAAACTCTGGGGACCATTTATTTTCCTACCAGTTTTAATGCTCGTATCCTGCTTGAGTTGAGAATTAATTTTTTTCTTCAAACAAATCAAATTGTTGAGAAGGGGGACAGGACGTGGCCCAGGATATTTTTTGGACACCAGTGGTGATTACCGGATTCTCAACCAGGAACCCCCCTCTCCATAATCCCAGTACATATATTTGTAACAAAGTTACATTGTACATCTTCACAATATTATTTCTACCATGTTAAATATCACTTTTTTTCGATAGCATTGGGTATTTTAAAATGTACATGCATGTTGTTGTGTTTTTTTTGTACTTGATGGCATTTTTAGGAAGAGCCACTGTCTAGATAGTGATTAAGTTCGCTTTTGACAATCCTTCAGGGGTGTTATCAATATTGGTTGTGTGTGTGTGTGTGTGTTACACTGGCTTGTTACCTTAAATGTTTGTATTATATTCTGTGTTGTTCTTACCTGAGAAATGAAATGAAATGAAACACTGGTAAGACTAAGAGAAGGATATTCCTTGTCCAACTCTCATCTTACTTTGAGTAAAGGGAATTATAAAATGCACATTTGTACATATGGGCACATGTTTTATTAGCGTCCCCTACAATAGGTAGTGTCCAGCCCCACTTTTAAAAATTTTTCAAGCTGCTTGTTCCCCCCCCCCCAAAAAAATATTGACAAGAAATTGCTGCAGGATTCATGCATGACAACACTTGAATCAACAAAGTAACTTACGGGATTACAATGCCGGAGCTATTGTTGCAAAACGGCCTTGAGTGAAAGCCATTGAATCCTACCAGACAAACTGCTGTAGCGAAATTTTTCAGGTTTCTTTTTTTGGCTGCAATTCAACCAAACAAAGGCGGCATTTTTCCCCCTTTGGAATTTGACAATGGCTCAAGGTATCGGTAGCCTTGTACTCCTCCAGCTGTTGCCCTGGTTTTTCCCACAAAGGGGAATGAAGTAAAGATAAAAAATAAGCGGGAAACAGGATACCAAATTTGGCGCCAAATTCAAGGCTGATCCTAGCAGATGGTTCGCTTGGCAGCAGAAAGAGTCTTTTGTGTTCAGAAGGAAGTTGGCAATTTTTTATTTTTTGGCGAGACCACGTGGAATTGTTAATTTGGTTTCAATGGTATACAGATATATACGTGCATGTTGGCTTTTTGTCCCTTTAAAAATATAAAATGAAACTTTAAATTCCTTTGGGCTTACTTCACTTTTTTGTTAATCTAAAAATATGACAATTAACCTTGTAGGAACAGATGTGTTCAACGTTGCTGAAAAATTAAATAGAAAAACTAACAGATTGGTCTGTAAGTGATGTCAATTTATTGTAATGCAAACGTTTGAAATTAACAGTAAGTGCATTAATTTATCTGGTTAAAGTATCAAACAAAAAACCTTCAAATTGCAACGTTTCAAATTAACAATAAGTGCAATAACTTATCTGGTTAAAACATCAAACAAATACCTTCAAAGTGTCAAATTTCGGTATACGTTTTGTGTAGGCCTGTTTTCAAATTGGCAAGTTTTGGGAAATATTAAGTGGAAAAACCAAACGTTTTGGTATCTGATATTGCTTTGGATGATTTCCCGAGGGGCGTTTAGTTGATCATAAATTTTTTGGGGGAGGGGGGTGGTTTTTCATAGTTTGAAGACATTAAATGGAATGATTTAATTCAATAATTGCACGTTGGGAGGTTGATTTGTAAAAAAAACCTAAAAATTCTGGATCTGTCAAAATCCACTTTTACTTTGGTGGATTCAAGACGGTTAAACCCAGCGTCTTAAACTGTTCATATTGACCTGTTTTTGTTGTTAAAAGTCCAAAAAAAATAATAATAATTGTTACCCTGTCTCCCCTATTTTGACAGCCCATACCCTAATTTTTTGGGGGGGAAAATGAGGAAAAAAAACCAAAACCATCAATTGCTACCTTTTACCCGCGACTACATGCAGAAAAGTATGATCAACACCAAAAAAAAAAAAATGCAATAAGAAAAAAAAATCCCCTACCTACCTACCCTATTTGCAAATGCCATGTGATTAATCACAAGTAGAACTTTTTTTTTTGGCCTAAGTCCAAGTTTCCAGTGGATTCAGGAACATTTGTAAAACGAAAAAAAAAAATATCTAAGCGGTTTGGCAGATTGTCATTGCAAACTATTTTGAAAGGATTTTTTTTTTTCAAATGAAAATGTGTTTTTCTCTTATGTTCTGCAGCTCTCTTGACATTTGTGAACTGCTGGAGCGTCCCCTGGGCGACTAAAGTCCAAGATGTTTTCACCGTTGCCAAGGTCTTGGCCCTCATTGTCATCATCTTGTCCGGGCTTGTCTACATTTGCATGGGTGAGTATTCCAGAAACACCGTACACCCCCCACCTCCAAATGGGACGCGCACGCCCTTTGAGTGTTATTCATTTTTCGATCAAATGGCAACTTGTAAAGTTAGTAACTGGACTCTACAGTTTGAAATGTCATCAAATACATTGAAACCTGCTTTTAAATTTAAGTGACTCGAGCTTAAGTTGGAAAAAAAAATCCATTAATTTTTTTCAAAAACACGATCATGTGGAACCGTTTCTGTAACATGAAGCTCATTACTAGTGACATGAAGCTCATAACTAGTGACGGTGCACATGGTTAAGTTATCAGCGTTGGGACATTTAATTTAAGGAAGCTCACATTTTAAAACGGCTCAGCGATTATGACCATGGGGCTGCATTGATGCGTGAATATCAAGAGTACAAGATGATTGCATCATCCTACTCACAGCATCTTGAAGATCAAAACGATGGATCAAATTGGATTACTTTATTTGGACGTCGTGTTTTTATGAACTGGCTTGCATTTCTTGAACTGATACAACTTTACAAATACCCCCCCCCCCAAAAAAAATTAGAGGAAAAATTAAGGTCTGAAATCTTTACAGTATATTTTAGACACACATGGATCATAAAGTTGATACAGAAGGAAATTGGAAGAAAAAAAAATCAACTCAACATTGTCTTTTGGTCGTGCCTCGTCACCTCCATTTCTAGCTCCGCCCAGAGTCGTCTTGTTTTGACAGAACCGATCACATGTATTCAGCTCTGATTTTTTTCTTCGCTTTCTTTGACTTATTTGTTGTATTTAGTCAAGTCGCTTGTAACATCTGTTGAATTGGTGTTGATCAATTTGGACACCAGTTCACAAGACACATTATTAAAAACTTATATTATTTTGATATCACAGAGATAACACTCGAAGGAACATATAAAAAAAGGAAGGAAGCGTTTGAAACTTAATAGACGAAAGATGTAGATTAATGATAAATTATTAACCATAAATTCCCAGGCATTTTGTGCTTGGACACTTCCTGAATCTTCCAAACTTGACCACTGTGCAGTATTAAAAGGTAATAAAGCATTTGCTTTTGCTGTCATTTTCAGAAATGGATGGATTGGGGGTTAGTTTTTATACAAGAATTCAACTTTTCTTGAAATGACAGCGCATCAGGTGCCATAATTTCACTGGATGCTTGAGACTAATATTCACTTACAGTGAAGTAAGGCATTTCTTAACCCTAACTCCCTAGGCCTTTTTGTTAGGATGTAGCCTCAATCCTGCAAAATCCTCCAATTGGCCTCATGGAAAAATGGCATATAGCCTCGGTCCTGCAAATTCCTCCATTATTTCTTGAATATGGGCCATGGAGGGGTGACCACTGCCTGAATCCTGCAAAATCCTGCGGCAGTGACTGTCAACATGTTAAGGCTTGGTAAGTGACATCCTGGAGCAGTACAGAGGATTTCAAGCATAATCCAGTCCTATATTTATGCATGGCTGAGCAAAAAACTACACAAGGTCCAGCCCCCAAGACCTTGACAAAGTGCATCCTACGAAATCACTAACGCACTTTTGCCATGTAACCTCAATCCTCCAAATTCCTCCACTTTGGCATAGAGGATTTTGAAGGATTCAGGGTGGTTGGTAGTTTTGTTTTTGGATTTTTGCAAATATTGTATATTACTTTTATTGCACATAGTATCATTTGTACTTCCAACAAAAGTGAGTCCCGGGGTACAATATTAAAAACAATTTTGCCAGGGCTCCAGTTAATTAAAAAAAATATTGAAAAGCCAGATGCTGAATTTGACAATAAGGGTTAATTACAAATATAGGGTAAACTACAAGGTAACCTAATTATTAACGTTCCTGTTAGTCCTATCAAAATTATGAAACTGCATACAGTTAGCTTGTGGTGGCTCTTAATACCACCATCCATGCATATCATTTACATGTCTCTGTTTTCACTCGCTGTTGACAATTTATCCATTGTCAACAAATGAGTTTGTCTTTTGCAGCAATAGCAACAGAGACAAGTTGTCCACGGACTCATATCTGGCGGTGTTTTCTGTTTGCCTTTGTCAAATGCACACACTGTGTTGTTTGTTCGTTTTGTTTGCCTATTTTTTTGAATTCCATTTAAACGTTGAGATTTTTTATTGAACTAAAGAACTGCACATACTTTTGCAGAGAAAAAAAAATATGCGTACAACATTTTTTTAAATCAACCCAAAGTTTTTTTGATTTGCTCTAATCTGTATGAATTTCTGAGGTCTGCTTTCCTTGTGTCAATTTTTGTCCACGTGTTTCAACACTCGTACATTTTTATTTTGTTTTGGTTTAAATGAATATCATTTACTAGTTAATTATACGGTCCAACATAATTAATCTACTTGCAAAGGTCATCTTATTATGTTATTTACTCAATAAGCCTTCAATGAATAATTAAAGCGGAATCACACTAAATCCCCCTTAAGCCACTTCAAGGTCTTGGTCGATTTAGGACAGAGTATCCCAACTAGGCAGGCTTGACATTCCAACTACAAAGAATTTGGTTAATGCTTGATTTTGCGACTTTCGCGAGCGTCATCTGTCGCACATTAAAAATACACGTTAACGTCAAATCTCTTTTGGTTATCCATGTAGCCTGGTTTTCATTTTGAAAATTCCCCCAAATGGCATGCAAAACCTTTCTTTTTTGTTGTCGGAGAAGTTACCAAGTAATTTGTAAAGTTGGTCATGGATGCCCGACCCCATAATCTGGAACCGGTTCCTGACATCAGCGGTCGGGTGCTCAGGAACCCGGTTCCGATGCACACCCCAAATCCCGTCTAGCGTAGCCACTCATATGGGAGTTGATACGCCTTCACAGCACATGGTAGATTTTGGAGGGTTCAGGTACCTAAATGAAAATTTCTAGGTTAACCCCTCCTATGGAAACATGCATTCTGAGCCATGCTGTTACTTGGGTCCAAATTGGCAAAGTGACCCATTGGTGGGTTAAAATTATACCGGGGGAAGTGGAAGGAAACTTTGACACTTTGTGACTTTTTAAACAGCAGGGGCGTTTTAATGTACAAATAATGATTGTTTGTGAGTGCAATGGTAAGAATAATTTCATGAGGTGACAGATGAAATGTTCCATTCCACGAGGCGAAGCCGAGTGGAATGGAACATTTCATGTCACCTCATGAAATTATTCTTTCCATTGCACGAATGTCAAACATTCATTATTTGATTTATATAACACCTGAATAAATCCTTGTCATCTGATTGGTTGACTTTTAATATCCAATTTATTCAGGTTAAAAACTGTTTAAAATGTCGACAAGTTCATCATATTTATATTAACCCTTACTCTCTGAGGGTAATTTACTGCATGTCAGTTGGTTATGCCAATGCCCTCCAGCTGCAGTTTATTGGCAGATAGTTTTATTTAACAGTGAAGGCTCCAATTGGCAGGAGTTGGAGGCCCTGGAGGGTGCCTGATACTGACCAGCTGGGGGCACTCACTTTGTTATCAGAGGACTCTCATTGTTCTCTGTGGCATGTATTGGAGTGCCTGTCCAGTTACCCTTGAAATGACATGGCAGATATTGGAGGGCCATGCAAAAAACATAGGTGATTTTCTTGAGGCACATATTGGCATGCGTTGGAGGGTCTAGTAGGGTAAGGGTTAATGCAAACTGTTCAACAGGTTGAGAACAATCACATTCAATTTATCTTGATTTAAAACAGTGCCACCACCAGCAGCAGTGACACAGTGCAATAGAACTTCCATTCACAGTGCAATAGAACTTCCATTCACAGTGCAATAGAACTTCCATTGCACTGTGCGCTGCGCGCGTTGGTACGAATAATTCAATGACATGTGATCAACGATCCACCAATCAGATGACAGGGATTTATTCAGGTGTTGTATAATGTGAAAATAGCAAAATATAATGCATTTTGTGTTAATTTTTTTATTTTTTTAAATATTTTTTTTACCCAGGACACACAGAGAACTTCCAAGAACCGTTCAAGAATAGCAAGGGAGGTAGTGACATTGCCTTGGCCTTTTACGGTGGCCTGTTTGCATACGCAGCTTGGTAAGTTGAAATTCTCCAATTAGTATTTTATTGTAAAAATGTGGAGGGTGATATTCATAGAGCCATTTTAACTGCTTTATTGTTTCTTTGTGAAAGCTCCAGAAAGCTATCTTTAGTAACAAAACCAAAATATTTTCCAAAATTATAATTTAAATTATAAATTTGATTGGATTTCCATACACATTGAGTTGCGGGTAGTTTGGTTTGTACTTGTTTGTTAGTATTTTACTTTTAAATGTAAAACAAAATAATATACATTAAAAACTACTTGCTTAATACATTATGCAGTAGTTTGTTCCGGCAAAGTAAATTTTTACCCATACATTTTTGTCAATAAATAAACAACATTACCGCTGCCTTGCCATTCAAATGCATTTGCAAGACTTTATTTTTGCTTGGTTTCTGTTGATAAAATAATTGGCATATTACTTAATATTTTTTTCAGCTGGTTTACTAAGTATTTAAATGTAAATTATAATTTGAGTACTTTGTTATGCTAATGCATTATGGACTTGCAGGTAGTTATTATCTTGATTTATGAGCCGTAGGAGCTTTGCCTACATAAAACAACCATACAGTTAAGGTTGTCCCGACTGTTTGAATATTTAACCCATCTACGTAAAATACATGTTTTAGCTAAAAATAGCTTTTTGCAGGTTTGAATATTCAAAAGAAAACAACAGGCACGTACACACCTGTGATGTTATTTTAATTGTTAAGCTGTGGTGCTTTAATGATGGAAGTAAGGCCAAAAAAAAAAGTCTCCGGTTTCTGGTATGGAGCTTGCCCAAAAAGTGGTGCGGCGACGCGGCTTTTTTTTTTTTTTTTTTACCTGATTTTTTTTGCTTTAAATGTCGGCTGAAGACTGCAAATGGTGCCCGACTAAACTTAGTGCAAGTATATGGGAGTCCTGAGAGGCCACATAAAGCTTATTCTCGACTATAACCCCATCTAAAAACACGTTAAAATTGTGCAGCAGCAGGATTCCAGTCAAACCAGTGAGTTTGGCGGTTTTGAGACATCATCTTTCATTGAAAAAAAAACTTTTTCATTTTGCTGACGCGCATGGCTATGGCGACGCGCACGCATACCAGAAACCGGAGACTTTTTTTGACCTAACGGTTCACTTTTTAATCTTTTTAGCAGGGTAAAGCCCTTGACAGTTAAAAGATACTTACTGTAAAACGCTCCAGTGGCCTATTACATCGATCGCTGCGTGCAAAATTTATCCCACGCGCCTTGCGTACAACTTGGTTCCAGCTGCCACATGTAACCTTGATCGGCGAGTTTTCAATATTCACATGTTTGTCAAATGCTGTTTCGAATAATCGAATACTATTTATTCAAAAATGGACAGGCTATTATTTAAACACTGAACTTTGTGCACATTCAGATTAGAATGAGCCGTGCATACTTCGCGCTATACGTGCACGAACCAGAACACGCACGTGTTGTGTCCCGTCCTTGGGTCTCGGGAGTGGTCAAACAGCGCCCTCTCCAGTTTGTGAACGCAGCCCATACTTTTAAAGATAGACAAATTGTGGGGTTAAAGGTGGGTTTAAATACTAAAGTGAATTTCTTCTCTTAATGACAGCCTCCAAATCTACTCTTCAAATTTACCGATACAGGAAACATGAAACATGGCTGGAATGGTGGCAGCATGATAAAGGTATATATGCCCATTTTTTTCATAACACTTTAAAAAAGTTGTGGTATTGATGTTTCCATGCATTTTTTTTCTTTTTTCTGTAGGAATTATCTGAATTATTTGACGGAGGAAATTAAGAATCCACACAGGTGAGAATTAAACACGACTTTCTACTCGTTATCTTGAAAAATGTATTCATAATTCATTGATATCTGGTATAAATTATCAAAATTATCTGACTTTTTGCATGAGTGTAAATTCTAAAAACTCTTCCACATGTGTACAGGCAACATGCTGGTATCTCTCACCCCCAACAGAGCAAGGGCAAATATGATGTGAAAGTGAAACAGCTGTGTGGTATAACTGACTGGTCGAACATATTATCAAAATGTAAAAAAAAAAGAAAAAAGAATTTGATCAATAATTAATCCCACCTGAGATAACTGGGTAGTTGTGTGACTGTGGAGGCGATTTCCTGGTTATCAAAAGTGGGTGGTTTTTATTTTGCATGTAAAAAGGTCAAGTGTCGGTCTGCCTGGTGAACTTTGACCTTGCAATATTTCCCAGTTGATTTGAAAGGTTGTCCAACAGGCTAGACAATGCAGTAGAAAGGAGTTGAACATATGTTACCAATATTTTGGTTTCTCTTTTTTTGGACTGCATAGAACTGCCTGTAATACCCAATATTTAACTACCAAAAGTACCAAGCCAATATTTTTTTATAGTTTCGTCTTGAAATCGGGCACAATTTTATCACTGACTTTTCATTATTGACATTACAAGAAAACAACATTTTTTGCATTTCACAATAAGCAAATATACAAAAATAATTCTGACATGCCAAACTTGCCTGTTACAGTGCACAAACAGTACCTTGGTGATTTCTCGTAAATGTTTTTGTTAAGAGTGCACTCTTCAAAAGTTAAAATATCACTCTTTTTGTCAAAAGGCTGAAAGCTGAGAATTTAAAAATTTCGCTAGTCAGACTTTTTAGAATCTAAACGGGGCAGAACATTCAAACACTATCCCATTGTACAACTCCTTTTGACGCCATCAGACTTTAACCCTTTCGATGTCGCCAAACTTGTTTGAAAACCCCAACACCTCGGGGTAAAATCGATCAGGACATTCATCAGTCGATCCATCTACCCTGACATAGCCCATGATCTTTTTTAACCACTTAAGAATTTGGTCAATGAAAATGAATTCAAACACTATCCCATTGTAGAACTCCTTTTGACGCCACAAAACTTGAATCCTTTCCAAGCCGCCAAACTTTAAAAAAAAAAACCCAAAACAACGCCTTGGGTAAAATCGATCAAGACACTCATCAGTTGATCCATTTACCCTGACATAGCCCATGATCCCTTTCAATTTCAACCACTTCAGAATTTGGGCGATGAAAATTCCATCCCGGAACCTGGGATGTTTGGACAGGATTGCGGATGGATTAACTTCCTTCCCTCATCTTTTCCCCAGTGGACGTTCTTTTCCACTCCCTGCTGATCTCAGCAATTTCGCGGCAATTCAAGTGTTCCTCAGAACAAAAAATCCTCGCAAGCCAGTCTGAACTTGACTTCAAGTATTTTTCGGTCACTCAGAAAATCACTTCCGTTACTTAAAAAATTTGTTTCAGTCACTTTAGATGTACATGTATGCGTAGTTTGTACTCAGTGACTCGGTCATTCAGTCAGTCAGTCAGCCAGAAGACAATAGGCTTATCCTTGAAAAAAATATCTTATTTCAATGAAAAAGCCCCCTTAAAACCCACTATCATCTGTACATTGTATTACATTGTGTTTAATCGCTGAAGAATAAATCAAACTATAGAGTGCTGGGGCAATTTGGAGCGCTACAGTGAGTACTAGGCAGGGCCGTGGCGCTATCGTGACTTAGGCCAAAAAAAAAAAAATTTCTGCTTCCAGTTACCCTACCTACCCTATTTTGACAGCCCCTACCCTAATTTGAGGGAAAAATCCCCGAAAATCCTAAATGTCTACCTTCTACCCTTAACTGCATGCACATACCTTTATATGACCATCTGCCGAAAAAAATTGCACCCCAAAAAATTCCCTTCCTACCTACCTACCCTATTTCCAAATGCCATGTAATTGGAAGCAGAACTCTTTTTTTTTTTTGGCCTAAGGGTTAAAAAAAAAAGGAAAAATAACTTTAGAAGTGAAAACCTCATCTCTGCCAAAAAAAATCTGGTCCCAAGCCAAGTTTAACATGGATGAATGTTCCACCACATGTTCAAGTTGGCAATGGAATGCTTCATATCTCCGGCCACCTGTTTTGGCACATTCATTATTATAAGATGGAATTTTGCGTCGGGGTGATATAAATCAAATTGGGTTTTGCCCTTCACTGACGTTTAAACACTGTATACTCAGTGTGTTACCTCCCTTAGTGAAAGTTGGAAAAAATCACTCGGGTGGGACTCGAACCCACGACCTCCTGCTTTCTAGTGCAGCTGTCTTACCACTCGACCACTGAGCTAACGGGATCGGTTGGTCGGTTCGAATCTGATGTACATAGCAGCGGGTACCGCATAAACTATTATAAGATGGAAATTTGCGTCGGGGTGATATAAATCAAATTAGGTTTTTGCCCTTCACCGACGTTTAAACCCTGTATACTCAGTGTGTTACCTCCCGAGTGAAAGTTGGAAAAAATGGCACATTCATGTTATGTCTGTCAAGTCTCCGGGCACTGACTGTGTCTGGTTGCAAAAGCCAAGGTTGCACTGTCAGGGTTCATTCCCATAGGCAGATTACACTGAGATCAAAAAAGTTATTGGAGATGAAAGACTAAGTGATGTCAAATTAAGAGGCAAATTTCTGTTGGCAGGTTGTGATGACTTGCAGCAACATAAATAATAGTGCATGACACCCCCTGTATTCCAGACAAAACTCTTAGGAAAGAAATTGCTTTCTTGGAAGGTAGCTAATTTTCAATGATACCATTTTCTTTTCAGAACTCCTTGCAATTGTTAGTATCAATTTCAGGGGAAAAAAGATAAAGTGTCGTAATTTTAAGAAGTTTATTTTGGGGAATTGTTAGGGAAATACTGACTTGTATATATATTTTTTTTGGGGGGGGAGAGTTCTTCTCCCCCCCCCCCCCCCCACACACACACACAGAACTAACCAAGATACTGTACTTAAAGAGAAATGAGTTCTTTTTAGTCCAGTTTTTATTTTGAAAATGCCTTTTAAAAATTAAAACAAAATCTTGAAAACAATTTTTGACAGGAATCTTCCCTGGGCCATCGGCATTTCTCTCCCCATGGTCACCCTCATCTACGTCTTGGCCAACGTCGCCTACTTTGCTGTCTTGTCTCCTGAGGAACTGGAGCGTTCCAATGCTGTGGCTGTGGTAAGCTGATTGGCCGATTCGTACAGTGTGACCCTTGACATGATTTGACCCTTGACATGCTTTTACCCTTGATATGATTCGAGTCTGGACATGATTTGACCCTGGACATGATTTGACCCTGGACATGATTTGACCCTGGACATGATTTGACCCTGGACATGATTTGACCCTGGACATGATTTGACCCTGGACATGATTTGACCCTGGACATGATTTGACCCTGGACATGATTTGACCCTGGACATGATTTGACCCTGGACATGATTTGACCCTGGACATGATTTGACCCTCGACTTGATTTGACCCTTAAAACAAATTGACCCAGGATAATAAAATCAAGAGTACCAGTACCCATTTTTAATTCTCAGCATTCAAACATGTCACTGTGAGTTATTCAGAAGTAAAATGTTTGAGAAATATATCTAAAAGCTAATTTTAAACTTTATTACCCTTGCTCATCAAGCCAGTAATGCTTCATCATGTCATCTGGTCTAAAGTTCTTCGTGATGTTATCTATCAATGGCATCTTTTGCATGACAGTGAAATTGAATACTCTCTGGTTTCAAACTGCATTGGTGCCAAAAATGTGTAAACTTGTTTAATTTCTGCCTGCCACTAACTAGTTAAATTAGAGGGCAGTATATAGGCATATGTGTGGTCATCTGATATCCATTTTTATAGCTTTCCAAAAAGCCAGAAGGAAGCTCAGAGCTCTTTCTTGTCAACTTTTCTGTCTTGACCCAACAGGAATCTTCTCCTAAAAACAGGAGATTTTTAAGATGGTGTTTTGAGTGGGCAAGCATGGCATTGCACTGTTGAGTGTAAAAGGTTCAACCTTTGAACAACATGGTGTGATGAAAATGATTTACCTTATCAAGGGACAATGGACTTGTTTTTTATGTACTTTGTTGTCGGGTGACTAGGGTTAGTGTTAACCTCTGACCTGTGATTCCGGTTTTTAGGCAAGGGTACCGGCGTGAAGTCAAACTGGATGATGATGCCTAGCGGCGATATCCAGTCAACTTTCTGAGATTCTGAGATTCTGGTGGTCTGATTAATGGAACACCAGGGAAATCTCGTGGGATGTCTGTCACCAGTGAAGGACTGTTCCATTTTTGCTTGGGGGGAGGGGGAGGTTTACTCCTTGCAAGAATGATAATGTGCGATTTTATGTTCTGTAAAATCTCAGATAATAACAGAAGAAAAAAATATTTCAACATTTTTGACAGACATTTGGTGAGAAACTCTTCGGCCCCATGGCTTGGATAATGCCGGTTTCGGTTGCCATGTCGACGTTCGGCAGTGTGAATGGAGGTTGTCTGTCCCTGTCTCGGTGAGTATCATTAAAAAAAAAAAAAGGGGGATAAGCCTGACTTTGAATTTTTCAAAATTGTTCCACATTAAAATCTTTTGAAGCTGAAAACGACATTATGCTTCTTCGAAAATGAGAGTACAATTGACAAAATGTCCTTCGTAGGAGCAGATTTCTTAAACATTTAGAAGACTTTTGTACAAACAGACAACACCACCTTTGATGACCAATCAAATGCATTTCTCTGATCTCTCTAACGATAATAACAGTTTAAAAACACTTGATTTTTAACACTCAATCACTCTATTGTATTGGATTATTGTATTTAACCAGTTCGTGCCAGATGATGTGTATGCACACAAGGGTTTTGCGGTATTCAGAACGGATGACGGATACACACGCAGGGAGCGAGGCCGGAAATATCTGTGAGCGACCTGCTCGCAGCGAGCGAGGCCGGAAATATGATTGTGCTGCCTGAGGGTGATGGCTTCAACCTGCCTGGCTTGAGGTCCAGTGAAAATTTATCCCGCGCCTCGTTCCGTTTTTGTCAAAATAATCCCTTCGCGAACTGGTTGAGGTGAAACAGAAAAAGTCTGAATGGTATTAAAAACCTAACACTGAAGGATTTCTTCAGTTGAATAGATCGGTGTAAATGCAGTCAATTAGTTAACTTCTGAAAATTCTCAAGCTCCTGTTTTACCATTGAGAATGCTTTATTGTCTTGTTTTGCAGGTTGTTTTTCGTTGGAGCTCGGGAGGGCCAGTTGCCAGGAGTCATGTCCATGATTCAAGTCAAGCGCAAGACACCACTACCTTCTCTCATTTTCACGGTATGACCTCCAAGATAATTATTATTTCCTCAGTAGCAAGAGAAAAGAAACTGTCTTACAGTCTTACAGCCCAGTGTTAGTGATTCCAAGTTATGTTAGCCCTCACAGAACTATACTAAACTAAAAAAAAATGGCAAATTATTAGTAAAACCTGAGAAAAGTTCAAGAAGAACATTTTAACTGATTTACTCTTTTACAGGAGGTACTTCTCAGTCCACTTCAGGTATATGTTTATTTTGCATAACTAGGCCTATTGTTTGGAAAACGTGTCTTAAAAGACTGAAACATGTGTTGCATGTACACCACTGGTATATCGTTGATGATTGGTTTGATTTTTCTTTCCTCTCTTGATATGATCAACAAACTTTTCCCTTGTCTTGCCCCACAGTGTGTCCTGTCGGTCCTGTACGTCTTTGTGGAGAAGATTGAGACTCTTCTGAACTACTTCAGCTTCATGACGTGGCTAGCCATTGGAACAGCCGTAGCCGGCCAGCTGTACCTACGATGGGCTAAGCCGGACCTGCCACGACCAATCAAGGTATGAGCCGCCTAAAAAGGAACTTCTGCATATGGGTGGTCTTTTTACCAACAATTCTCAATTTGAAAATTGTGTACATAGCTAATCCGTGACGTAAAATTGTGTACATAATAACGCTAAGACTAGATTTGGATTATGTTCCCCTTAAAAAAAAGCTGGTCCCTCGTTAAGCGCGGTCAAGCCTCCTCGGCCGTAGAGGGCGCTATCAACAAGATGAGGCTAATTTTGTCTTGGAAATCTCGACACTCAGACCCAAGCGTTCCATTCTAACTCCACAGTGAAAGATTTTGAGGCTGTGTTTCAGACTAGATTAACAGTCTTGTGCAGTAACTGAATGTGGCAGTTTTCATCAGTTACATTTCTTTCTTTTTTCTTCTCCGTAGTTCAACATTCTCCTCCCCATCACCTTTGTCTTGGCCTGCCTCTTCCTGGTCATCATGGGAACCATCGCTGCTCCCATGGATACCCTCATCGGCATTCTCATCACCCTCACCGGCTTCCCCGTTTACTTCGTCGGTGTTTGGTGGAAGAGCAAGCCCAAGTGTCTTTTGCGATTCAACCGTAAGTTTTCAGCATTTCTAAAACGCCTGTTGTAGGCCTGTGCAAAACTTTTGCTAGCATCAGGAAGAACTCTAACTCAAGTTTCTGCCTCGTACTACCTGCCACTGTGGAACGCTGTGCCCAAATCTTGCTTCCCACCCTCTCATAACTTGTCATAGTTAAAAGAAAATGTCAACAATTTCCTTTGTATCTCTATATTTTATTCATAAATACCTAAGACAGTTTACCCATTCCTATTGGTCAAAAGCCTGTCATGTGGGTGGTTTTAAACGGTTGATAAAACACGGCTGGTTTTAAGCAGGCATAAGATTTTTCAGACTTATGTCTAAAATCAAATTTTTGAATCTGAGAGAATCACATCTTTCAGACCTTTCATCCAATTTTCAGACTATTTTTAAATTGACAATTTCATACCTGTTCACACTTTTCCGGTGTCTCATGAAATTTGGAATACTAGAAATCTGGTCCCTTGTACTCATTAATTGGTTAAACGTTCACAATCTTCACTTAGACATGTGCAATACTACCAATGAGTCCAAGAGTCCTAAATTCACACTACACAGACACAGCTGCATTCTGCGCCACATCGACATTACAAATACTAGTGAGAGGCACATACCATAACATAGCTAGAGGGGTGATTAAGAAAACATTAAGTAAATTAGTTGAACCAAATCGTTTGGAAATGTATAATTCTTGACTAGTTTTGACAGTTTGACTTCAATGTATTTCTGAATGGGAATAAATATGTGCTTGGTTGGTATTAAACAAATATGTTTAAAACCAGCTAATGAGCCCAAGCCAAAACGTCCAGGTCCCTGCAAATATTGATTCCCTTCCTCATTAAGTCCCACCCCAAAAAAGTAAAAGTAGCAGATTTAAAACTTAATTAAAAAAAAATTGTGATGATTTTTCTTATACAGAGGCAGTCACCATTTTCCTTCAGAAGACGTTTATCATCGTTGCTCCGGAGAAAGAAGCATGAGTCGACTTTGATCATCGAGGCGAGGACTTGAATGGAGTGAATTCAGCTCTAGGGGGCGCTTTATACAGTTGGCAAAAGCGCACACGATGAGCTCGATTTTAAGACTAAACCCTATTAAATGTTTTACACAGAAACAAACAAGAAACATATTTAAGCATCAGTGCAGGGCCATCAAGATCTTCAAGTCTTCCAAATTTCATAATTTTCAAAGTTGAACAAAGAAATTGACTGGAGTGTGTTCAAACCCCGCTCCAGTCAATTTCTTTGTTCAAATTTGAAAATTACAACAATGGACCTAGTCAGTGTCCCTTTGTGGTTTATTTGAAGATTTCATCATTGGCAACAGAAAAGGGAAGTTGCGTCCAATTAAAGCCATGTTGTCTCCAAAGCGGTTTTTGAGCAGGGCTTACCATTTATATCCTGGGTTTTAATGTAGTTCCATGGAAACTGTGCAAGGAACAGTAACAAGGAACTATAACACGGAATTGTTAACAATAAGAACATATTTCTGGTTAGTGACTAGTAAATATGATGGTGCTGCACTTGCAATAAAAATACAAAACTGATATAAAATCAAATTCCCAGGGATTACACAGTATCTGGCATAGATTTTTCCAAGCGCTTAAAAGAAGCGTCAACTTTTTTGGCGATATAAATTCTTGCAAACAATAGTAATCCAGATTTTTTTTTTTAAAGTCCTTGAAGGATTGTGTAATAGACTGAGTCTGAAACAGCCACTTACGTCTATGGCTAACTATAGAACGCCAGTGGCAAAAGCCTTAGCCATAGCTCCAAAATGCACGATTCGGACACGGCTATGTCCCATTACACAACTAGGCAACACAACAATGCAATGAAGAAACTTACAAAGGCAAATGTACAAAGGCTTGCGTGAAATGTGTATCTTTTTTAAATAATTTCATCGTTTGGGTTAGAAAAAAAGGGGGAAAGGGTTCTCTTTCGCATTAGCTTTGTGTCTTTACTGATACAAAACTCATTTTTAATCACTTTTTGAGACGTTATCAAATTAACGGCAATGCAATATTCAGTGATGCCTTTACTTGTAAACGTTTATTCAGAGTGTCTGTTTTTGACTTCAAAAAGTCTACTCTCTCGGAATTAATGCAATCACAAGTTCAGGTTGATTGACCTAATTATTGTGCCTCATTAATAACCAATGAAATGCATGCAATCACCGTCATGTGACTTGTTTGTGTATACAGTAAATACTTCAGAAATGAATGGGTTAAATTGAATTTGTACTTTGTATTGTTCCCATCTCCAACTTAAATGCTGTTCTGCTACCCAGTGTGCTGTGGTATTTTGTTGGTTTGTCACGTTTGCTCTTAGCTTATTGATATCACTAAGACATTCTTTGGTACAATTCAAATGTTGAATTATCTGAATTTTTGCTGTGGCAGTTTGCCAAAGTCCATCAGAAAGTATGTGAAATGAAAAGATTTGATTTTGATTTTTAGAACAGTTCTGTCTTGTAGTTTGTAAGAGAAGAGAGCCAAAAAAAAGTTGAAGGCGGCATGAACTTTTTTTGAGAATTGTGAGAGTGTAGTTCTAAGAATAGCTTTTCTTTTCAATAGCTACACTTTGAAGTAAAAAGAAAAGAGAAAATGTAAATTGAAGAAACAAGATTTTAATGTGTTGTAAAACAACAATTATGATAATCGGAAGAAACTTGTTTTACAGCCATAATTTCATTTAAAAAAAAATGTTCACTGTAAAAACAAACTTTTGTTGATGAAATGGCAAAACTTTGGTTATTGCTAAAATTGAATGTACAGTGGGCTAGTAAATTTTATGTAAATACAAAGTTTTGGAACTTTTCAAATTCCAAGGGTGGGGGGATGTTGCAGCTGAATCTGTAAACATTAGATCGGAGAGCCGGTTTTTCGCTTCAGAAAAACGGGAACAGAGATTTCTGAAATAACACTGATTTCTTTATTTGGTGTTGGGTTCGGTTATTTTTGGTTCTTTTGAAACACAAATATGTAAATAGTTGACATAGGCATGTCGAGTGGACATTGTGGGTACTACTTTAAAGGTGCACTCGCGTGATGCGGGGAAAAATCCCCCTTTGATTGTCCAAATAGTTTGGATTTTTGGGTGGAAAGTTTGTTCAGTGGGAATTTTTTTTGGGGGGGGGGAGCAACTGTAATAATTGAGTAGGGCTGACATTTAAGTTGTCAAAAATAGACTAAAATGAGTGCATCTTTACAGAATGCTTTTTGTTTGTACTTGTGTAGTTACTCAACTGGGTAAAGATATTCTTTATCTTTATTCCTCGTCTTATGAAAAGGTATTCTTGTTTTAAGTGTTTGCCACAAAAATTGTTAAACAATTCTGTTCTTGTATTTTTGCGTGAACAGTTTCAGAGTCGTGAAATATTTAAAAATGTATTTAGTTCATGTATAGATGGAGTGCATGCGGCAGCCATCTTTGAGGTGTGTTTTGTTATGTTAATTCATTAAAAATGAATATGCGGTTATGTTAATTCATTAAAAATGAATATGCATGAGGTATGGCCATCTCAAAGATGGCGGCAGTGCAAACAATCTATCACTTTCTTGACTTCTCTAAGGGAAGGAATATTGTGATGTTTCAGGCGAATGCGCTGGTATTTAGTTTTCAAAATAATTGATAAATGTACATTTTCTGTTTTTTGGTCTGACCATTCAATCAAATTTACTAAAATGACATTTGCCATGTTTAAAAAAAAAAAAAAAAAGTCATAACTACATCATATTATTCAACATTTCTATTGTAATTTTTTGTGTGTTAAGTTACAAGAAGTTAAAACCTCCAGAGATATATTGACAGATCTCTTAATTTTATTTTGGGAAGAGTTTTTAATGGATTTGTACTGTAGAAGACTTTATGTTCAGGCGAGTGCATTCACTATATAGATATTTTTGACCACATTTTATGAAATAGGTGAATACTAAGTTAACCGAAAGTATTAACTGGTAATACTCTCCATTCCTACTCTTAGCAAGTAGTTAATTTGGTGAAATATCAGATATACTCTCTGATTATTTGGTGAAATATCAGATATACTGGGATACTTTTTTTTTTATCATGGATTCCGTCAAACAAGGACCAATAAGTATTTAACATTTCCACTCGGAAGGTCATGAAGGGGCAAGAGTCATAAAGGGTCAAAGGTCATTCAGGGTGACACCCTGGCAAGGAATACGTTGTAATAAGCCTCTGTGGTGATGACATCACACTTGATTTGCATGTGTGCTTTCTTATGGGAGCCTGGTAGGGCGATGGTTTCGTAGCCCCATAGAAAAGCGTATGAGTAAACAAACTATGACGCCATCATTACAGAGGCTTATGCACAGAGGTGTGTCAAGCAGGTATTTCTTAAGCTGGTTTGCTTTAGACATTTCTCTCAGGGACCAGTCTAGAAATCTGTAATGCATCTAATGTACTGGATGAATAGCAGGATCTAGACTAAGTTCCTCAATCACTTCCAATTGTTTGATTTATATCCTTGTGATGTCGTGTGAATCAATCACTTTGCACTTCCACTGGCGAAGGACTGAATAATAAAGTCTACCTTTTAATGCAATGGCCATGTAGACTTGCTTCAAGTCCCTCCATTATCTTTGTTATCTTTTGAGGGAACTGGTTTAATGACTTTGATGTTTAACATATTTAAAAAATTCATGTATAAGAAAGAAGTGTTCCTTTAAATTTCACTTATGCAAATTATAATCATTAATATTTAGTAATTTAAAAATTCATTTGCATGTTCATTTCATTAGACTGATTTGCATATTCATAAAGTACTGTTTTAAGTAATCTAGACAATGCATGTCTGAATGTACTTCCAATGAAATGGTGCCTTTCACACTGATCAGGTCGTAATTGTAAAACCCAAAATCTGCCTTCTCTATTCCCTGGTAATTTTATAAATATTCTCATCATTCCAATGGAACAGTATAAATGAAATGCACAAAATTGTTTTCATGTGTACAAAGTGATCTTCCAAATAATGGCATGATTGTTTCGTAAAGATTTCTGCATGATCATAATTGTAAAGATAATGTTTAATTTAGAAGATACATTTTCATGTATGTAGGCCCTGGAAACAATTTCAAGGCGCTGGTTAACATACCTTAGTGAAGTTGTAACACTAGTAGAAATATCGATGAAATTTATTATGCATAATGACATACTGAACACTGGGACAGGCATTTAGAATTCTATTGTTCCATTGTTATTTTATGCAAATTCTCCAACTGAAGCATCATGCTTAACTGAAGATCTAGCAAAGCCATGAGTCGAGAAAAAGAACAAAATAAGCTAATAGGGGAATGTAACTCGGACCGTGACTATTTAGGCATTTTTTCGAGTTGTAAGAAATTTCACTTGTGTTGTCTCTTTAAAAGTGACACCTAAACTGATTTTGAGAGATTTAGAACCAAATTTACTATGAAATGTATAGCGTGTACTTCTGGAAATTGTTTTGGAACTTTGGGGGCGATAACCATTCTTTGTTGGAGTAGTGCCAAATTGTGGGTTTGGTTTTTTTTAATAATGGAATTCAAGTGGAATTATTTAAGGACAGTATACTCTCAAAAAAGGTTTCAGGGTCAACTTGTATTAATGTAAATAGTTTTGTTCATATTAAATATTTTTCTTTGTGAAATATGCCTTGTGTATTATTGTTGATGGTATTACCGCAACCATTTTCTGCCCTTTCAAAACTTTGAAATAAAACATCTTCAAACTTGGACCGATTTGAATACTGCGTTGTTATTCAGCCCAGGACTATTGAATTTTAAGGACCTTTCATTACCAAGTTTCAGTTTCATGGATTATAGGATTTACTTCATAAATTTCAACTGTGAATTTAAACTTAAAGGGAATTTAGTAAATTGATTTGGGGGAGACAAGTACATGTAGAATGTTATAGCAAATATTGTTAAACTGACTTGTTTCACGTTTTGGGCTTAAAGATGCTGGCACAACCAAGAAAACCAATCATGTTCTTGTAGTCTGGTTCCCAGGTGTGTAATCAATTGCAAGGAAAATGCGGAAAAACTAAATTATGAAAAATTAAGAGCAGTTTTTGAAAAAGGGTGCTTTAGAATGTCATTCCCTAACAATCCAGTAAGATATTTCGTGATAATTTGATCATTTCGTTTTTTTGATGTTTGCAAATGTTGCAGCTTTATAATTCCCTTTAAGATCTAAAAACAAATCACCAGTGACCAAAAAACAGAAGCTGAACAAACATTCCTTTATGGTGTTATACTATATTTAATTCCACGAGAAATACAATAATTTAATTTCAAAATTAACCATGAATAAAATGTGTCATCAAAAAAATGTGTCATCGAATATTCACACCTACTTTAGTGATTGGACATGGCACACTGGAATTGTCCGTAATATGAATGGGCCCAGTAACATGGGGTGTTTTTTTTTTAGTGGGGTACACATCAGAAGCCAAGCAACACTTTTTTTCAGAAATACATGAATAAAAGTTGAAAGTTTATTAAAAAAAGATTTCACCATAAGAATGGTTAAGAGTTGACCTGGAAGTAAATTTTAAACTAGAGAACTTGTTCTGGTGAAATTTACCTTAGCTGTCCTAAAATACATCCTAATATCTAAAAAAAAAAATTGCTATGTAATAACTTAATTACATGTACATGTGCATATATACGTAATTAAAATAGGTGTGACTTGTACACACTGACCAAGGTTCTGCTTTCCAAATCAAATGAATCTGTAATTAAAATCCTTCAAGGTTGGTTATAAACCAAATCACAATTCTGAAGACAATGGGCTTCAGATCATAAACTTAAAGCAGCCATCTTGGCCTAGTTCCCTGTTTGCAACCAATGTCAAAGTGCTGTGGGAATAACTTGCAATAGATTGCCACCAGCCTAAATCTGTCTTACCGGCAGCCTGAAGAAGCCCTGTCCACTTTTCAAACCTGTAACAAATGTTCCAATGTGCCACACGTTCCAGGTGACTGGTTGAAGCTTGCAGTAAAAAAGGACCGAATTTATTGAAGCCGTCACATAATACAGTGAAAGTATTAGTTCCAGCAGTAATTTAACAATCCTTAAATATATTACAAGGGCATTCAACATGATTAACAGGGTGTCTGCATTATTACCCTTGATGGACTGTCCTATAATGATCATGAGACTTCACCCAATTTGCTCTTTTCACGCTACTGCATGGGCATGCACAGGCCTCGATCTGGCAACTTTACACAATGAATATAGCCGGTTCAGTGATTCCCGTGTCGGGGTTCAGATCACTGAACCGGCAATTTTTATTGTGTAAATGTACCAAATCGAGGCTGTGCATGCCCAATGGCAGAGCGTGAAAAGAGCGAATAGACCTAATGACGCGTCCCACCTGGCTCTTGCAGGAAAGCGCACATGTAAACAAAGCACAGCGTCATCAAGTCTTGGGTCTATTCCCCTTTGTTTATATATTTTGTAATTTTAAACCAGAGTGTCCCATCAGATTTCAACAAACTGTTCTCCCTGGAAGCCTGGGAGCAGACACTGTCTTAGCATGGGCTTTAATCATGGTCGCAATCTTTTGTCATTGGTACAGACTCCTTATTTGCTCCAGATCCAGAGTGGAAAGAAGCAATTGTGGTAAAATGCCCTGCTCAAGAACAACATGATCCATCTGATTGGGTACCAGACCCAAACCTAGTAATAACTCACAAGGAATAAAGTCTGGTATCCTGAACTATGAACCATGACACTCTGTAACTGGTGTAAAAACTTTTCAACAGAATTTCTTTTTAAAACCGTTGACGCTACGTGCAGGAGTTGAGGTGGGTGTTAATTTCAGGATTCAACCAGTCGTTGCTGATGTCGTCTAGGTGAGTGTCAAAGTCTACCAGATCTTGGTAGGTCTTTTCTCTTAGGAGATCGGCCGCGATGGACAGGCAGTCGTCGGACAGTAGTGGACTGAAAAGATAAAATACAAATGATTTAAAGCTTAAATGTTTAGTCCCTGTAGTGCCCAAAATGACCCTGCCTGTTTCGCCCAAAACTGCCCCGCACTGTAGGGTTTTATGGCTCCATTAGGGATTGAAGCAGCTGATTTTGATTATGGTGGGATCCACTTAATATAATGTACAGCCCCCTCTTGTGGTGACTGCTGGGTCTTTTTGTCACATGATGTCACCAGTTATTGTTGGCCGACATTAAGGTGAAACCAAACAATGTTGTAACTCACGTATTTGATGACTTTGGTTTCCACTTGTTATCTTGCACCGTGTAGTGTTTGAGTACACACTGGTCACAGTCCACAAACATCTTGGTGTTATCAATCTGAAAAATGAAAAAAAAAAAAAAAAAAATATTTTTACAATATTTATTGCCATCTCTCGACACTTTTACTTTTTGGGAGGAAAGAAGATGACTTGAACACACTCACCATAAAAAAACATGCCTCGTTGCAATTGTCGTATATCTTGTCCGCGATCTTCAGTGCAATTGGGCTTGGACTAAACAAAATGAATAAAGTGGAACATTTAAAATACTATTTCATATTTGCCAATCAATCCACATTGAACATATTAAAACAAAATTGTGCAGAATAGAAGGTGATGTCAAGTAATGCGAAACCTTATTGTCAAATAATAACTAGTTTAGTTTAACAACCCAGACACCAGGATTAGTGGCAACCCGGACACGAAAAAAGACCACGCGAGTGCAGTGATGGGGCAAGGAGTCAACAAGCTCCGCCACTCGCATGGTCTTTTTTGTGTGTCCGGGTTGCCATGTGCGCCTTGACTCAAGTCTACGTGACTGACGATCCAGCATGTGTGTGATCTTTTTGATGTTGGAATTTAGATATACAAACGTGTGCAAACGAACCTGGAAATTCCAAAAAAGAAAGACATCTGAGAAAGGCGGGACTTCTTTTCCATCGCTTTAAAGAGGGCGAGTGTGCTTCTAAAGCATAAATAAACTACAAATATAGTCTAAATGTCCTACATTTTCGGGTACATGTTCCAAATGTCATGAGTGTGGCGCTTATTGACGGAGGCAGTCCAGTAAATGGGCCACATTTATGGGGCTAGGGTTTCCCAAGCTAGAAGCAATGCAGAAGCATTAACATTTTTATGATTAAAGCACAAACACAAACTCTAAACTCTGATATCCTGCAAAAATGACAAAGAATACTTACTTTAAGTCTTTGAGATGCTCATTTGCATGATAATATCCTGCAATAATCAGACCGTTGGCTTGGCAATAAGAATCAATCTGGGAAAATTATCATAAAATTAATGTCAACATCAAGATGAACACGGTCAAGGGAAATCGTAACCAATCAAACATTTAAACAACAAACAATCAGGGAATAAAATAAAATTTAAAAGATATCAAAATCAATAAGAGGTACCTGTAAACGAGGAAAAGGCACAGCATTTCATATCATATCAATAAATTTGAATTATCCAGTCAGGGAATCCCAAATTTCTAATCCGAAAATTTTAAATAATCATGTCGGAAATAGACGGATATTCAGTGCACTCACCTGGAAAAGGGCCACTTCCAAGACCGGCGCTAAACCCAACGACAAATGACACAGTGGCACGCAATCTACAAACCTCAGGATTTTGTTTTCTTTGAGTTTCCTCTTTTCTGCAAGTAACACCCCATTCAAGGCTGCATGAGGGTATTTTGCAGCATGCATAATCAACTTACAATACGCACGATTCGACAGCGTTGTTTCCGAAGCCATTTTTTATCCTTGCTGGATCTGCACGGTTCTGACAGTGGAGGGCGCTATGATCAATTTTGCTTTCCCTAGGCCCTCGCGATGTATCGCGCAAAGCGTGCAGTTTTTTTTTTCCCCACAAAGAAAATATTGAAATACATTTTAAATACATAAAGAACGACCAAGGAGATGCAATCTGTCCATAAGCTTTGCTTATTGGGTTCTCTGCACGTTATTAGCCTAGTATGACCAAACTTGAATTTGATTATTTTAAATCAAGGGGAAAAAATCTGGTATTGTATTCAAGTCAGTTATGAAAAGTGATCAGACACCTGAATTATTAGACTAATTAAACATGTGGTCCAGTGTGGACCACACATGGATCTCATATGTGGGTGTGGCCCCATCCCCTCAAGGCTATAAGGCAGGCATGGCGGAGGCAGGGTTCACTGTGTGAGAAGAAAGTATTATTGACAATCGTTCTGTGCGACGTTATCCTGTCTAATAAAAGAAATCTTCTTGTAAGGTGTGAAGACAGATTATCTGGCTTTGAAATGACTTAGCTTTGACTCTCAATATTGATCTTATCTCAAGTGGAAACTTCTTGAAAAGTTCACAAGTTCTTCAAAAATTAAACCTCCATTTATTTCTTTATTTTATTTGCCGTCTTATTTATAGGGTGGCCTTATCAGTTAAAAAAAACTGCTCTCCGTGGTTCATTTACACATAAATATTAAATAAAACAGTAAAAGAATTTAAATTCAAACAAAACAAGATATATATATATCATTAACAATAAAAACATCAACAATCAAATTAAATTAGATAGAAGATTAAAGACTAAAACCCAACAAATCAGAATAAAACAAATACTCAGTTAAAATTAAAATTAAAATTAAAAGCAGTTGATAATTTAAGCTTACAATAATGGGGAAAAAGAATGTAAGTTAGTACTCAAAACGACAGGGCAGGAAAATAGGAATTAGTAAAAATGTGTTAATAAAAAAAATGCCAATAAAAGTATTATATTAAAAGGTATGAACAATACATTATCGAGACACAAAATTCACAACAAAAATAAAACAAAAAAAATTAAAATGAAGAAAAGACTACAACACCCTTCCCCCCTCCAAAAAAAGTCAAGTTACAACAAATCCTAAATTTGACAGATGAATGTTACAAACGACTCTCAGCAAAAACCAATAGTTTGGGAAATTTACTCTATGATGCGTAAGATTATTAGGGTTTTTTTTGGCTGGAATTTTCACTCGTCGTTTCTTTTGTAGCTACTGAATCACTTGTTTAACCTCCACTTCAATACTTTTGATCATGTAAAAAAAATACTCTTTTATTGTTATTGTTCGGTTGTCCAAAAGATGCTAAGTTTTTCGAAAGTACATGTACACCTAAAAAATGTTACACCAGGTGCAGTTGGTTTTCTAGTGCACGTAAAAAGAAGTGAGCCCTCTCGCGACAGCAATTTGCGGCATTCACACCGCGCGCTCTCTTGCTGATAATTTGACGTGACATGCATTGCAGTTTTTGCACGTCAAAAAAAGCCTGATTTTCCTGATCGTGGTACTAGTCCAAAGCTCATGTAAGTATATATGCAGATATTGTTTGTTTCAGATTTATTTTGAGAGTGTCAAAAATGACAAATGCGGCAATTGGAAAGTGTTCGCTGAATTTGAATTCGGGAGTCGAGTCATGGACGCGTATGCCGTATATGGGACTCTGAGTTCGATGAATGACTGACCGGCACCGGTCACCACGGTCGGCACAGCTCTCACGTCATGCACGTGCACCATGCACGCTCACTGCAGGGACGTGACTGAAATGAAACTGTTCATTCTTTGTAGGAAAGGAGGAAGTGCTAGTGATTTTTTAAAACCAGATTTATGTGCACCATATTTTTACACAATATTGCACAGGTTGTTTTAATATAAATTGTTGCTGTTCCATGTTACGTTTGAGGCATGGATGTGCAGATGGAGAGTTGGGGGCGTGGTCAGGGGAGGAGTAGGGGAGGGGACGGTGGGGTTACTGTTTGGAGGATGGTGGTGCAGAAGGAGAGGGGTCATCTGTGGGACCTTCAACTTGGAAGTTTTCTGTAGGAATGAGTACTAGTACTAAGTATAAATAAGCACAATGGAAAATTTTAGACGATTTGGGAAGGTTTCTAGCCCCCCCAAAAATGCATTGTCATGATTGTGGTGGGTATCCCACAAAACCTGCAAAAGGTTAAACAAAAATTACTTTGCGACCCCCTTCCCAAAAGACAACTGAATCAACTTTTATGTTATTGGACTTTGCAAAATCAGTGCCTGGCGATGTTGAAAAGCAACAGGAATGTCAGAGAGTGAGGGCAGATTTATGGAATTAGAGAGAAATTATGAGGTAAAACAATTAAAACGATCACAAAACACAACACAAAATGAAGCTGTTGAATGTGCCTGCTCATGTGTAATGCATTGCTTGAGGTGCAACAGTCTTTTTTGGAGCAATAAAAACTAACCTATAGTACACTTTACACTCCAATTTCCCAAAGCTCTTATAGTATTGAAGAATCTTGGAAGGTTTCTTGTGTCAATACGAAATATTACTCTAAAAGATTAAGGGTTTCTAGAGTCAATTTCGATAGAATATCTCAAGACTGACAGTACATAATCTTACCGGATAGAACGCATGGTGGGAATGCCCTTGGCTTATGACCAACAGCCCGATTGGTCACTCTACTATCACGCCACTGTTACGTCTTGTGACACACCCAGACATAATCGGCTTTGACACTCGCGCCCCTTGCCATGGTCAGTTCAAGTTCACAGGCCGAAGTTCCTGCTGCCAACGCGCCCGGTAATGAATTACCTCCTGTCGTTAGTCAGAATTAATTCTCGACGTCTCCCAAGAAAACCTCGTTAATTTTTTGGGACTTGAAAAAATACTGACCAGGAAGCTATACATGTACCTGTATACCATCTGGTTGTAATCAAATTGACTGGAGGGGGTTTTGGGCTGAAATCGGGTAAAAGAAGTGGGGGGGGGGGTGATTTTACTTTTTGACCTTTAACCTTACCCAATGTCATGGCTCTGAAAGCTCAAATCTCCAGCTAGAAAATGTTCTTGGCAGAAAAAACATGTACATGTGGAGAATTGCCATTGACTCTGGATGGACTGGACCAGAATTTTAACAAAAGTGTCAATCTTTTTTTATTGCTGATAAATTATTTTTCTAAATTGCCACACAAGTTTGCTTTTTTTCCCACTCAACAATTTCAACTTGTTGCCTCCACGCTGCTCACAGAGCTAGAAGAGAAAAATCTATAGAAATTGCCCACTCAACCCAGAACATGTGGCAATTGTTCTTAAATAAGTGTTTGGCAATGTATGTATGTTGTCAAATCACCATTTTGTAAACAACCGCTTTAAGTTAGTAAATAAAACTTTTTTTGTACTGTGTATTTTTTTCTAAATATTTTGGAAACAAGTGGAAATAAACAAACGCAGAAAAAAGTTCAGACTCCTGTCTTGCAATAAGCAAAAACAACTGAGAACAGGTCACTTGTAGTACTTTAAATTTCATATTTCTTTGAGATAGTAAGCTGTTAAGCAAAACACTTAGCAAAACTTTATTTGAGCTTAGCATCTAAATGGAATTGGCCCAAATAGCAGCAGGAAACAAAAATCCAGCAGAGCTTAAAAAAAAAAAAAGGAACATGTAAAAACACATGTTGCAAATGTGGATTCTTATTAATTACAGTACTGGGGAGTCATGACCTCCTAACCTCCTAAACTTTAGTAAGTGAATTTTTTTTCTTCTGCATGTGGGAGTGTTTTGACAAGTGGTGTTTTTTAGGGGGTGCACGAACATCTGGAACAGTATTTAAAAACAAAAGTCACCAGTGGGATCTGCGGATCAGAGTTAGGGAAATGTTTGCCCGTGCATGGGCGAACTGTTGATGCTGAGCGTTTAACATTCAGCAGGTGTGCAGTTGAGCTCGGCTGTTGGCGGCAGGTGAGTGTTATGTTGGAATGATGCATTGTTCCATTCTTTCTGGCTTTAAAGATATAGTCCATCATTTGTAATTTGTGCATTTTGTTCGTTTGAAGCAACAAAAGTGTTCAAAATCTAATGAAGGATACTGAACAACTAACCTGATGAAGTTTCAGCTCAGCTTCAGCTGTATATTCCGAGAAAAACGGCATTCTAGGATCTCGATTTCAAATCAAAAGTTGCTGAATCATGTTTTTGAATCGTTTTGAATTGCAGCTATACGCGATGTCGCGCACTGATCCGACGAATTATAGCAACCGTGCGCGCCTAGCCTGTGCGTCGTGCCAATGCTTGCGCGCGCTGCGCCGAATAACAAAACGAACTACTAATTTAAATTTTCCTACGGTGCGTCTTAAGACGCACCGTTGGAAAGGCCTTTTTTCGTTGATAACTTCAAAATGATAGCTTGCCAGAAAGAATAATTCCACAGGGAGTTTAGTCCACTTACTATCTTTCAACCAAGTATGTTTTTCAACAATAATACGCCAGTTACTTTTTCGGATGGCTGCAAATGATGGACTATAGCTTTAAATGCATGGGTTAAATGCATAAGATTCTGGTTCTGAACAATAGACTGATCTGGGCACGCTAACAATTCTTTCACAAATGTCCCCCTTCAGTCAATGACGAAAGCATTGTGCTAGCTATTGTTCAGATAATCTCTCATGGTTCAGTTAGTTTGTACAATATAACATGCACAATGGGTTCTCCATTGGAGGGGGCCTCGTTAGTGTCCAGTGATCCCATGCACAGATTTGTCTATATAGACTACATTTTCTACATACAAAATGTAGTTTAAGCTCTGATAGTATGTAAATCAGTGAAATTGTGAAGCTATTGTGTGTACGTTGATATCACTGATCAATATGCAGTGTATGTGTTCAGCACCTAGTTGGCACACATTTGTAGTTATGCTTACTGTTTAAGCAAAATTCCCTGCTGCATGTACACAATGTACATAAAATTCTGTGTTTAGCACATTAATAATAACAGGTTTGTATATACATGTATAGCGCTTATTATTATCCCTGATCATTGGGTCAATTAAACATTCCAAATACCATCTCAGCTCCCTGGGGAGTATACAGCTCGATGCTGCCTGTTAGGCGCCAGGAAGCTAATTCAATCACAATAACCGTCTCTGCCCTCACAGGTACCCATTTTACTCATGGGTGGGGAGAAGCAATGATCGACAAAGTGCCTTGTCCAAGAGCACACGTACCATAACCCCAGGCTGGACTCGAACCCACAACCTGCAGAATTACCCGCAGACCACGAATTCAACGCCCACGAGGCCACGGCACTCCACATTGCATATTTCATTTTTTGGTTTGTGGGCAATTTCATTTTTTGGCTTGTGGGCAATCTCCTTACGATTTTGTGCTTAGAGCTGGTTAGCACAGAATGGTAATTGTGAAGTTGTGTGGAATTCCATGGTTTGCAAAGCCATAAAAATAAAACCTCTAAATCTTGAAACTTTGAAACTTCTTATAAATATAGTTTAATAAATCTGTAATATTTAGGTACATAAACGAATTCTGATGTGAATAATAAAACAAAAATCCTCTCTGCTTCACAACCATGTTCCAGTGAATTTAAGCACATGCCGGCAAAAAGTGAAAAGTTTTGAATTAAACATCAGACATCTGTAGGCATTTTTATGCGCAGCTGTTAAATGCACTAAATCGAAAATCCTGTCCGCGAGGAATATGGCCGCGCAGTGCCGTTCTAGCCTGACGCACATTGTACCAATTTACAAAGATTCCTTTACAGCTCATATTCATGTGTTTATCGCTTCACTGCCCGCATTTAGCTCGTGCTTGCTGCAATAATATTTTTCACGCCCGAGGAGTCGTGCATTGAATAGCAATTGATCAGGTCAGGCCTCCCCAAAGCAGATTCACTGCCATAAACAGATTGACCTACTTTTTCCTGAATTTCCTCTGGGGAAGCGTTCGGTGTGGCGATACTTGAATTCCTTGTTTTGAAACGTTCTTGGTTGATACATGTGCATGTACATTTGATATTTCTGCGTCACAACATCTGTTTTGCCTAAGTCTATTTTGTTTTACTCTTAGCATTGTATATTTGCAGGGAATTGCAGACAATGAAAGGAAAACTATTGCCTGCTAACTATTGACCTGGTTTTTGCCCTTTTTATGCACATTGGTCTGTGAGACCAATTCACGAATTTACTTGGGTTGGATTTGAACACGTAACCTCTTTGTTAGGCCTACTAGTCCAGATGTCTTAGCACTCTACCACAGATTCAAATTCATGGTCCAGTCCAAATAGGCACTGTAGTTCAGTCAATCTGGAAGGATTGTTGTTTTTCTTCTCATCTGTGAGATGAAAAATCAGGAACTCAAAACTTTCATCCAAAAAATATTGACTGTTTAAATTTGACAGAATTTTTGTTACTGACTGATATTTCCTGATGAAGATTGACTGCTACATGTAAATATCGCCTGCGTTTTCATCGTCTGGCAGGTAATGGAACGCAAATGAATGACTTCCCTGCAATCAGTCATTGTCACCAACATCCTTTGCCAATCGTTCTCGAGCAGCCATATGATATTGTGAAACAAAATGTTGATCATTGCGCACGTAAGAGTAAAAGTTGTGAGTCCGTCACAAATGTCACATTTGGAAACAATTTGCCGCCAACTTTGACATTAATTTTTGATAGCGCATTTGAGGTCAAAGGTCATCTAGGGGTCAAATGAGGTCATTGTTGATTTTGGTTAGGTAAACTGAAAAGTCGGACTTCACTCTCAAGCAAACTTGGCCACACTATTCTTTGGGTAGGCGGACTTCAGATGACCTGCGACATTTGAGGTCAAAAGTCATCTAGGGGTCAATGAGGTCATTGTTGATTTTGGTTAGGTACACTGAAAAGTGTGCTTACTACTAACTTACATGTACTTTATAAATACTGCCAACATGCCAGGGGGATCGCGCAAGTTTAACTTGCCGTATTTTTGTCATTGGGATTAAGAATGAAGATTTATAAGGCTGGAATGTGACACTGTGTAAAACTGAAAATTCAACTCAACATAAAAAGAAAAATCTTTGCAAGGTGATCCGAGTTACTTCATGGTTGCAGCAAAGGCATTTTACCTTCGTTAAATGGCACGTCCATTCAGAAATGAGAATTTCTGTGAAGGGACAGACAGTACAGAAATCTAAAGGTTGGCTTATAATGTGACATTTATTACCTTCAGAGTGTTTAAGAAGAGAAAATGTGACAGAAATTAGAATCGAGATGGGAAAAAGGAAAGCCTGGGGGTTTTAGGAAGTGAGAAGTACTTTTAGATTGAAAGCTTTTACAAAATTGTTCGGCAATTCAAGCCTTTAATTTCGATAGATAAATGTATCTGCATACATGTGCATGTATAGCAGGTCATATATTGCATCACTGATAATAAAGAATAAATGTGTGCTTGGGAGGTGTAAAGCACTATTAAGTTAAAGACTGGTTGGAGTCTGGAATGCTGATAATTACCCGAGCCGAACCCATTCATTTACCTTTTTGGTCAAAAATTCAAAACTTTTCGGTCCGAAAGTCAAAACAAGTAAAAAATAAAACAATTTCATTGATTTAGTTCAACAGTTTTAATTCATGTTTTTCAAAACACCCCTTTAGCTATATAATGGAGTGTCCAGCTTGTGAGTAAGGCACAACTCCTTTTATGGAGATTTGCGTGTACGACGCGCATACTGCGCGATGTTTCGCAGATGCAGTTGTTGCGAGTGCGTTGTGAATTTTTGACTATGACATACTAACTCACTGGTAGTATTGCACATGCCTACGTGAGGATTGTGAACCTTCAACCAATAAAACAGTAAAAGGCACTGGATTTCATAGGAGTCCAAATTCATGTGACACTAGAAAAGTGTTAAAGACCAGCCAGTCATGTCTTTATCATTCGTTTAAGACCAATGGGAATGGGTAAACTGTCTAATGTATTTATGAATGATTGCTTGAAAGAAAATAGTAAATCTTGATGTATTCATGTTGACTTTTTAATTGCATTTGCTGTTGTGAAATCTTAGTCTTCTAAAGCCAGCGAAATCTATTTGAAAAAAAAGGCCTCCGATACATGTAGCACCCATCTGCTACAGGTAGAAGGAGATTTTTTTGTCCACTGTACAGTTTGACAAAATCAGAAAACTTCCTGCTGTTGGATGGATTTTAGCTTTGCAGGGATTCACTTAAGCCGAGGAATCTGATAGACAGCCCCTATCATCTAATCAGAAAAGTTCGATACTGTCACCAACTTTGTCTCCGAAAATGAACCCCTATCCCAACTCCGTCACGAAACCTAACCCCTCACATGTCCCCTCAAGTACCTCAGGGTTGTTTAAGGATCTCATCTCCCCCTCTCCTCCGCAAGAGACGGATCTCACCAATTAAGACCGTGTCTCCTGTTCGTAGGCAGAATTGAAAACAGACTCCCCAAACCAAGACAATCTTTCCTGGGGAAGCATCAACCCTGAGACCCTAGCGTTGGGAAAACAAACCCCTCCTATCCCAAGGGCGCTAGGCCTGATGTACTAGGTACGTAGGGTTGTATGGATTTTCGCTGATGACCGTGTAGTTTTTCGGCGCGATGGATTAATTCGGCTTCCGGACGAGTGCGTCAGTGATAATATTTTCCACCCTAATGAGTTGGGCCGAGATTGATCCAATCGTCAAGTAATCAATGGACAGCCTAAAGCTGGAGTGTTCTTTCCGAGTTGTCTGGCTGACAGTGCGATTCATTAAGCGATAGTGTTTGTTGTTTTTGTTTTGGGAATCATGAATTTTGTTATTTCAATCTGTTTACCCCGAAGGTACATGTTAATGAGCTTGTTATTGTTCTGTGTTCCAATCCAATCACAAAATGCTCCGAAATACGGTATTTGTACATGTACATGTATCACCTCTGCTTACAGGCTTCCCAACCACTCTGGAAATCAGGGAAAAACTTGAAAACGAGTTTCCATTTTTCAGTTCAGGAAAACTCAGGGAATTTAGGAAAACAAAACACCAAAAATCAGGAAAAACTCAGGGAATATGACGAATACATTAAATATATTTGATGCACAGGCTACCACTGTTGCATGTGGTGGAGAAAAGTACGGTGAAAACTGAAAAGGGAGGCCATCGCTTGTCAACAAGTTGTATTAGCAGTATCTTTCAAATTTGCATATGTTTGCTTTGCTGTAACCACCTCTTGACTTCCCAGCAACCTCGTTAAAGTGCAAATATTTCTCACAAAATTTGGGAAATTTCTCAGGGAAATATCAGGAAATTGTCAGGGAATTTTAGTTTGATGTAAGTGTTGGGATTCCTGAGGAATAAAAAGCTTTTTATTTTCAAACCTGAAATGGTTTAAATAGATCTAAATCTATCTGAAAAAAATAAAGATTTACGAAGCAGATTTTTGAAATGAAATTTGAGTGTTAAATTTGATGTGATTAGATCGTTGAGTTTTTCTTTTAGTGTTTGATAATGAAATTTTGGCCATTTAATGGAAATAAAGTTACATGTTGTAAATGACAGAAACATGTACGATATCTTGGGCTAAATCTTCAAAATTTCCTGGACTTTGCAGAACAATCCAGTGGTAAAAAGAATTTTTTGAAGTCCATTGCAAAATTGATTTATTTGCAGCGGGTTTTGAGATTTGCAAACTTGTGGCCTTTTTTAGGACAGAAATTGAAATCAGTTTTTACAAGTTTGCGTTCAAATTAGATCACTTAACAGTACTTCTATTAACTTTTACTTTAACGTTATGTTTCTCAAGTCGTTTCTGCAGCAGATATTTCAAGCAGTTCGTCAAGAAAATGTAGAATATCTCTGAAGAAATAAATCCTATTTACCCCTTGCAGTTGTAATCCTAGCAACATCTTCTCAATCAAAGTGATTTCGATTTGCATATTTTTTTAAAAAGTGTGAAATGGATTTTTGGTTCTTTCAAATAATGTTCAGAGTTGCTATGTTCATTCAAACAGTTCAATGAATTTCATTAGTTGAATATTTTCAACTTACATTTGTCCATATGAACGGCCTCTGGATGTACTTACCGACAGTGGAACCGTTTTTTTTCCTCATGTTTCTGGAGTACACAATAGCCAAAGTGCAGTGGTATACGCATGTACTTCAACACCATGCTTAAATGCAAACTGCCCAGCCTGGCAAAAACACATTTGGTTAAAAAAAAAAGGTAATCAGGCTGCGGCACCGAAACATCACCTCGGTTAAAAATAAAGGGGATCAAATAAGGCCCCCTGGCAAGCCACGATACAGTACTTGATCTCTCGTGTTGGGTTACACACGAGCTCAAACCAGCCTCACAAAGAAATATGCCCCAACCTTGCATATTACTCTACCAGCTGCATATATTACGGACAACCGAGTATTAGGGTTTTTTTTCTAGGTCTTTGTGTCTCACCGATGGCGTGATACGGTGGCCGCGAGTTTTTTTAAAACCCAGGAAGCTTTATCACATCTTGCCATTTATAGTTTTGTCGTTGCTGGATTTTTGAATGCCTTTGAGGTACTGTGTGATTTTGTATTCTTGTTAACTATCAGAACTGCACTTGGCGAGGCTTCCATTGTTCATATCTATGTAAATTGATTGTAAACAGTGTGAAGAGTCGTTGAAACGCAGAAAAGTGTGTTATTAAATTGACATCGAGTCTAATTTCGTGAAAACTGCCTGTCGGTGTAGAGTAAGTGCTTCAGATGATAAGTGCCAAACTGCAGATGAGAATTGATGGTAATCTTTTTATATCAGCGTAGACTGCATCGGGATCTCCATTATCGTACTGTAATATGACAGTAGCGATCCAGTGACGTATGTAGTTGACCCCACTCCAGTGCTGGGCAACGTGCACGTTCCACGGATTTAATATATCCCATGCATTTTCTGTGTTGCCATTCCCAGATCTTTTCACTTGAGGTGCCAAGAATAAGGCCGCTGCGTTATTAACACAGCTAGCTCCTCTGAAAGAATACAAACGCTGAAAACAGGTAAGCTGGAACTCATAGATTTTTTTGTCAAAGATTTTAAATCTAGGGATTGTAGTTGGAATTTTTTTTTTTTTAAATCTCTGGATTTTTAAACGGTGACTATCTCTTTGGCTGCTATATGTAGACTGTAGGTCTGGATCCGACGCCAATTGGTGCCTTCGCTTTTGGCCATCGTTGTCGACTTTTAGAATGAGCAGACGGCGGGACCCTACGGGAATCGACGACGGGATTTACGTTGGCTGGAAACCAGGACCGTTAAGCTATTCTGAGGTTTGAGTTGACCTCATAACTCTGTAACGTCTCTGCCCCACGCCGCAGCTGTCGCTGATTTGAGCAGAACGATCAACGTCTTGCGACCAACCACGTCTCTTGCTATTCCAGGCGGACCATTTGCGACAAACCAGGACTCGTATTGTCTAACCGGCGCCCGCCCGCCACCAACTCTTGCAGTTGCCGTTTTCAGGTTCCCCAATAACTCATAAACTCTGGGGGAAAAAACACATGTAAGTTGTTTCAAGTTAGACGTGCTTCGGTACCTTAAGGTAAGAGGTACTTTTTTTCAACAAAAAATCTACATTCATCATTAAAAGAAAATGCACTTTTGATTTGAATAGTTTCTTCCACAGACACGCATGTTGTGTACATATTGATGTGCCATATGTTTAATTTGCATGTTTCCCTTCGTTTAATTTTCAGTTTTAGTCTAGTGTGCACTTATTTAAACTCATTCTTCTTGCATGCAGGACGAGAGTCCTCAAATGTGTTGAAATAACATTCACTTTGTCATGTTGATGTTCCAGTTCAACAAAGAGTGGTGCAGTAACGCTAGCACGCATGGTCAGAAAATGAATGTATTAATGTTGATATTTACATTAATAAAGATTTATATATTAAGCAATCATATTTGTGTTGCATGTATATTGGTGTCAATTGTGAAATTTAATTTTATTCCAAAATGCCACTGATACCTCCTTGGAATATAGACCGTGCAAGTTGACCTCAAAAACGTGCGTACGTGCATTTTCACGGAATACAATACATCCGGGCACCATGTACATGTACACATGTAAGGATGTACAGCTTGTTGGACATCCTAATTTTTTGCATTTATTTTGTGACCTGACTAGGCTTATCAAGCCAGGGGCATTGGTTGGGAAAGCATTACAGTTTTCAACGTATTGAAAATATGGCAAATTGATGACTATAATGAATTAAACGTTTTGACCTCAATTTCCATTCAATCGATCACGCAGAAAACAAGTGGGTAAATTCTAACACAGGAGACTGTGACTAGACTAGTCAGTGTTTGGTACCCAGATGTTCACATGAAAAGCAATTGTGAACTGGTAAGACTTGCACGCTCTATTATCATAAAATAAATACAAATTAACATATTTGCATATATTTTGTTGGTTATTTATTAACAGTATTCCCAGTGTCTTGTTAGTTAATTGGGTTGTTGTGTTAACTAATCAAAGGATTTTTAGAATTACCATTTACTTTCATTAATATTTGAAAATTTTGAATATTTTGTTTTGTTTTGAGAATGCCATGTTTATTTTACGCCACTGTAACTAGTGTTTAGGAAATGTGCATAGTGTATTGGATGCTGGTTGAAATTAGGACGTACAACTTTTTTTTTTTAGCGCACTTCAGGTTTTACTCAATTAAATGTGTGGAAGTCAAATACGTACGAAGCAAACTTCTATTTTTTGTTTGCCTTATTTTGGTTCCCTGTTCCCTACGATATGCAGCTTTATCGCAATAGTTGTTTTTATTGTCTCGCTCACCACTTGATCAGCCTTGGAATTATTGACATAAACACCCCCAGTTCTTTACTTTAACTGGTCCTTTTGTTTGTTCAATGACCACTTTGTAGGTTGACTTATTCCGACCATAATATAAATGCAGATATGAATACAAAAGGTGAAAATTGACCCTACCACTCAGTGCCAGGGGCTGGTATTATGAAGGCCGCGAACTTGACGATTTGTAAAAAAAGAAGGTTGGAAGCCGTGCAGAGGACTGAGAGCTCGTATTTCTGTGAAATTTTGATGAAATTAGGCCTTAAAATGGCTCTATTTTGCAATGGAGCATAGGCGTCCATTTTCAAAATGGTGATGGGCTTCAGGACTACTTTTAGGGGTGACAATCTTAGGATGGAATTTTCTCCCAAAAGTAATTGGTTAACCCCCCCAAAAATTGAACAGAAAATGAAAGCTGATGAAATAAGTTTTTAATTTGATGCCTGTCTTGAACACCTCAGATAGTTGTGAGTATTTTTGATAATTTTGGGAAATGCGCGTAATTACCACTGAGGTCTATGGCAGTCCATTTACTGGTCTGGACCCTTAGAAATACATGTGGGTTTACCAGCTTAACTGGTAGCCCCTATGAGCTCTGTGTGCCCTCAAGAGAAGGCCCTTTTAACCACTTTTAACCCTTTTAACCACCCCCAACTCTCCGTTTCTTACCGTTGAGGCGGTACTTTTGCACGGAACCCATAAAATGGTTTATTTTGCTTCACTGGTACCCACTTTTTTTTCTGCCATGGACCTGCACAATGTTCGATACTGGTGACCAAGTTATGAACTAATTGCCTCTCTCTCTTGTTTGGAAACTCCGAATATTCTACATTTGAGGAGACACTGTATTCGGGACCAATTATTGATAACTTGAAGATTTCTTACATTGGTTAACATTAAAAATACATTTTCACTAAATAAGTTTCAGTTTGATGCAAAACTCAAGCCCGCTATGTTTTGCCAACAATGAGAAAATGAAAAGACATCAAAAAGTAGTTTTTCAAGGCGAGATTTGACTCAAAATAACATGTACTAACTTTTACAGGTTCTGTATTGATTTAACAGCACCGTGAGTATGGAGATATTGGAACGTGCAGTTGTTTGTAACTTTGCTTGTTTTTTGCACATGTGCACATAAAAGTAGTACTTAAGTGTTGAATAAATAAAACAGTTTTTTTTCTGAAGTTTTTATTTACCATATGGCTTTCCAAATTTGCCGAAATGGCCTGTTGTTTTATGAGCTTACTCTTGTGACATAATGTTGGTTGTAGGAAAAGATGTGTTTGTGAGGTGCGCATAAAACCCACATTTTTGTTAAGTCTCATTTATCTGGAAAGTACAGCTGTTGCGTAAATACGCCCAACTGTTGCTTTTACTGATATCGCAGTAGCATGGCTTTACTGCTTGACCGTTTGCTCGACCAATCACAGTGGTCGGTTTTCAATGCTACTCGCTCCTACACGCTCTGCGTGTACAGGGCGTGTTCAAATGTGCGAACACTCCAGGACAAACGGAGATAAGCGAACAGGACTTTGGTCAAACTCGCCCTGGTTGCAGATACCAGATCACCCCTCCTATCTGCCAGAAAGTAAACACATCTCCACCTGATACGCTGCTTTGTAAACGCTTTATTGTTTGTGTACCATCGCATGCCGGTACTCGTATTGTGAGCCTTTTTGCAATCATCACCAGCCCCACAAACTTTTCGCCTCTGCGATTTTTTTGCATTGGTGAAATCCTATCGGAAGGACACCTTCTTATAACTCCACCGTTTGTTTTCTTCCAATCCAAGGATTTTTAGTGGCACACGATAAGATTGGAAGCGATTTTCGAACCCAAGCTTACAGACGAAACCAGCTTGGAAAGACTCAACATATTTAACCAGTGGTGAGTACCCTTGTACCTTTGAACTGCGTAGAGCACTAACTGTTCAAACAGCTAACCAGATTTTTTTCATTTTTGGGGTCGATGGGATGTCCGATAAGTTTTGGTTGGTTGTTGGATATATTCCTTGGAAACATGGATTTCACGACTTTCTGCCATTTTTAAAACTCATCTTGCTTACTTTAGTTACTTTTCAAAAGATCAGCTTGCTTGAATGGGAAGAGAGAGAGAGTTGGACCACACACATAGGTAGCAAACGATGGGTTCCATTTAACAGAGATAGAAGTTCACGGAAGACCAAAATAACGGCTACAATTCTCATGACTGAAAGATCTTGAAGCAATTTATGCACAGTTATTCTTGAACTGTGCAAACCAACAATAAGCACAATTTTTTTTTCAGAAATGAACTCAAAACTGTAACGGCAATTATTCAGAATGACAAACTTTATGTTACCGAATGATAACGTAATAACAACAACAATGTTCTTTGCTGAAACTGTACTTGTATGTACATGTACCCCAAACCCATTTACATGAATTTTGCTTGAGATATGAAGTTTTTGTGATAAATTACAGCACAAGTCCGTGGTATATTTATTCAGATTTGGCATATGTGAGGCTTTCTGGTAAAATGAGACGGAACTGGGCATAAAACTGAATTTTATTTTCAGATTTATTGATATTTATAACCTTTGATATGTCTACCACACATGTTTTAAAGAAATAGTATACAAATCGTGGAATAAAAGTGCTTTGAAGAAAAGCCAATAAGCCATTTGCGAACTAAATTTGAGTAACATCTGGTATCCTGAATTGCTCGAATGCTTGGCACGTTTTAACTTTGAATTCTCCAGACCAAAGAGACTGTTGCTGTATGACTTGATTCGGGCAAGCCTTACGCTAGCAACCCCCAGCTCCGGTATGGTTTGGTGTCTTTGTACCATTCTCACCCATTGTGAGCAATTTATTGATGCTGAGCGTCTCTTACGTAACTATGCAAGAGCTTGCCAAGAATCATGTGATTAGCAACAGTGTCTTTGGTCTGGAGAATTCAAAGTTAAAACGTGCCAAGCATTGTGAGCAAGTCAGTGTACCAGATGTTATTCAAATTTAACTCGCAAAGGGTGTAGGTTACAAGCAATTGGCTTATTGGCATCTTTCATTTGCATGACTACAAAAAAACTTGAAACTTTATAGGCCTTTTTCTCAGTATTTTACTTTTTGGCATGTACTGTAGTTAAGTGCAAACTTTAAACATCCATAAATTGTCAACCGAATGTCCGATTGAAATGAAACAACAGTATTGTAAGGAGAGTTTTATTCTCTTTCCTTACACCCGTAAACACTCATATCAACCTCTGCCCTGTTGTGTCTTGTTTTGCCAGAATGCCTCACAGATATGTACATGGTATCAAATTGAAGATAAAATAATATTGCATTTCATGTGTTATCAAATTGAAGATAAATTAATAATGCATTTCATGTGCTACTGGTACGGTATCATCTCTCAAAGAAAAAAGAATTGTTTATTGTTTTGTTGATGTCTGCGTATTTTTGTCAGTCAATTTGGCATCAATATTTCTAATGAACAGACTGTTGATGGGTTAATTGAAAACATTTAAGCTCTAGAATGCTGTTTTAATTTTTTTTCAAGTAGACTTTATTCACACAAACAATACAGTGATACTTCTGGTTTTAATAATTTATTTTATTTTTTAGAAAATCTTTGAAAGCAGAAAAAAAAATTTAAATCAAATTTTCTTTTGGAATGTAATTTTTCAATCACTATACTGTTCTTATCCCATTTAATTTTCACTGAAGAATGTACTACACCACTTCACAGGAGTGAGAAAGTACTTCTCTTTGTTTTCCTGAAATTGATGCCTAGAATTTTGTTGTTATGTGTAAAGTGATTGTTTTAATAGCGACTTTCTTTTGCCTTTAATTAAGTTTTGGACAGCCACTGAGTTAATGAATGGGATATTTTGCAGTTTTAATGTATTTTTCCTTGGTCCTTGAGAAAAAGTGAAGAGGTGGGTGGGTGGGGTTGATTGGTATGAGACTGAGAGGGAGGCTTTAACCTAGTCAGACAGGTGCTTTTCTCATCAAGTAATCAAGTCAGTGTAGCATATTTTTACATGTCTGACCGACATACCGAGCAGGGAACCAGATTCCTTGGCATGTTGTCGGAACCTACATTGCCAGAATGTCATTGCCAGAATGTTTCTTGTGGAATTCATATACAAGTTTGCTTGTTTTTTTTGTTGAAAACTGCACAATAAGGGATTGCTGTAGCTGTCTTTGAACATGAATATTGATTAAAAACTGGTTGTGTTTCGGAATGGGACCAGTGTTCCCTTGCCACAGCCATGAGATGCGTTTGTGATGACGCTTGGTTGGAACATCTCAAAGCTCACGTAAACACTTTTTTTCCTGTCATGGTTTCAAAAAACCAAAACATCTCAAGTTGTGGCTGTATTTGGTTGTACATGTGCATCCAAGCAGCGTCATTGGGTTATGTGTTGAAAATGGAACAGTCATAAAGGCCGGTATGCATACAATTTATGAAGAGGCGTTTTAACCCCCGTTCAAAAAATTGTACATACATGTATATTTAACCCTTTAGCACTTGTATGAAATTGTATTATCTTGTATTTATTCATCAATAAATCAATAAAATCATAGAGTGCTGGACGATTTGAGGAGTAAATGGCAGGGCAGTTGTGGGCACTTTTAGGGCTACTGAGTCAAACAAAAAAGTAACTCTAAGTTGTCCACAAATGTAAGCATTACTTCAGTCCTTCTTTCCCTCTTTTCGTGTACGTGTACAATGCTTCATTCCCTCGTTGGCTGCTTCAGGCAAAAACAATGAAGCACGACCATTGATACATTCTGAATGGATTTCCCTCGTCTCTCCTCCATTTGTGACACGATTGAAATACATAAATAAACTCTAATGGATTCCTACGTGTATATATGCAGCCCACGCGGCGATCAGACACACATGCTTGTCAGGCATGAGTTGGCCCACGATTCGACTGCATAGTGCATACTCCCTGCCGTTTTGCAGCAGACGGACGTGCCGCGCGGCGTGTCTTGCCCCGAATACCAGCGTCTGATGCAAACCCAACCCCTTGGCGCTCTGCCAATAAATGCACGCCTTCGGTCCATATGGACGAAGAGGCACGGCCACGACATACTATACTTCCCTCGGAAATTAAGATGAGATTAACCGTGCGTCCTAGTATGGAGTGTGGTTCTCCGTCAATGCGTGGTATTTTCACGGTCGTTTCACAACAGCCACACTCTCCTAAATATGTTGATGTTTTCTGATCCTCAGAATGCCGTTTATTTTACTACTGTCGTTGTATTTCTCACATGTTTTGTGAATTTTGTGAAGTGTATTTCTCTCACAGTTTACAGTTTTGCATAAATATTCTTTTAAATTTACATGACAAATTTTGTTGCTAAGAAATAGCTTGAACATTTTGAATCAACTTAAAAAGACAATTCCTGTTATAATAAAAACATAATTATTTGTATTATGCAAATTTTCCCCCCTAAATTGACTCCCAAAAATTAGAAAATGTATCCCCGGTAAGGTATTTAAAAAAAAAAAAAAAATGAGATACATGAATATGTACATGTACCAGATTCAGTACAAATTAGTGTTTCGAAGTCAGAATGAACTTTAAAAATTTTAAAAAAAAAAATCCACAAATTGAAAAATTACGGTTTTAATGATTGACGATAAAAATTGTTTACACGCATTGCAATCCAATGGAGTGTTGTATCTCTATATATATGTGAGAGCTCACATCTGTTAACTGCCTGTGTTTTTATGTCAATAATTATACTGGAAATATTTAATAGTCATCCTCCGCCATTCACCATCAACTGACCGATTAAAATTAATGATACTACAGTGTTGTTTTTCAAGAGTAGGTGAATGTAAATTTATTGAGGGTCATGAGCATCGAATATATTTCTCTGTGCTCTTGGCAGTGTAGCAATGGTCAAACCTGCCAGGAAAATAATTTAGTACTTGTGCTGAATACAAATTGGGGGGAAAAATGGGGTAGATGTGTTTTCGCAGCGGAGTGTCTGTTGCCTTCCTTTTGAAAATGTGATCATTGGTGTCACCAGGATTTTTTCGTGGGGTGGGAGGGGGGGGGGGGGGGGGGGCAAAGCACATTTCCCCCCGAAATCCCTGTACTTTTCCAGCATATTTTCGATTTATTATAAGATGGAATTTTTTGCGTCGGGGTGATATAAATCAAATTAGGTTTTTGCCCTTCACTGACGTTTTTAAACACTGTATACTCAGTGTGTTGCCTCCCGAGTGAAAGTTGGAAAAAATGAACCCACGACCTCCTGCACTAGAAAGCAGGAGGTCGTGGGTTCGAGTCCCACCCGAGTGATTTTTTCCAACTTTCACTCGGGAGGTAACATAGCCAACCCTATAGTTCTCCGTGCTCTAAAGGGTGAATGAACTGTTTGACTCGAACTGTGGGATTTTCCCCTTGAGAAAGGTCCTTGCAGGACCGAAATGTTAAGTCCTCTATGTTGTGTAATTTGATGCTATAAAGCGTGTGATTGACATCCCGCTCCAAACAGGATATGGCGCAGTGGTAGCGATGCAACATTTTAATGTGTATTTAACGATACCCAAATCTAATCCTCAATAACTTGTCTATTCTGATAAAACTGAGCTCAGTGTACCCTGTTCTTTACTCAGAGCGCAGCCAAAAACGTATGATAACTGTGTTATCGTTGCTAAACCTTTTGAGCCCCACCCTGTCTGATAAGGGTTATGGGTAGTCCTATCCTCTGTATTCAAATTATTCATGGGGCACAATCGGTATCTAAAAACAGCTGACTAAACCGGATCCAGTGGAATAAATTTCGAGAGTCATAGCAAATTGAGACGCATCTAAAGAATAAATGAATTGTAAAAACTGCGCTAAAACACAAAAGTTAAAATCAGGTTTATTTTTAGTA